GAAACATTGGAAAACCTGTACGGAGTACTGTACAGCTGTTTCGTCCTAGTTTGGGGCTCTTCATCAGCACGCACTCACTAGAGTTCTTTTTTCTGACAGTTTATTGTTATTTATGTTCTAGGTATGTATTTGCGCTTTTATGTTGTCTACAGCTAAGAATTTCTTGTCATTATGATGAATACGTCAGTATTCACTGATAATGTACATAATAACATGCAGTCAACGCGATAGTAATGCTGTGTGAAGTTTGTCATTATCAATCAAAATTACTGGAATTTTTAAACAATAATTAGTGAGGCAAATAATTAGAAATACTTAGACCATAAAAATTTATAGGAGGTATTATCTTCAGTCTCACTTGTTGATTAATTTATATTGATACAAAATGCTCACATAGTCTCTGTTTGCAATCTATATCAACTTCTAATCCAGAGGCTCTAGTGATGCCTTAGGATTAATATGATATTGGCTAGTATGGATGATTTCGTTTCAGTAATGAACAATCAACTTCAACAAATAACAACTGATACTCGTCGTACACAAGGTGTCTCTCCTGACCCATTAAGTAACTTAGTGAATAACGCTATGGCATTTGAAACAATAGCTAACAGGTTGTAGATTCACTGAGGATGTTATCAATCATTGATAATGACACAAGTAGATCCTTATATCTTCTCCCAAATGGAAGCCGAAATAGGAAACGATGAGTGAGGCGTCTGTGGGTGAAATGGAGGAGATCGTACAAGGAAGAGATCAGAGAATATGGGCAATCGTGGGACCGGCTAAAGAAGACCGCAGAAAATAGGATAAAATAAAGACGTTCTGTTGAGGTGTTATGTCCCACTCGGAACCCAAAGGAACAATGATAGTAGTAATATATTGAACATTATGAAAGTTATAGAGTAAGTATCTTAGGGCTTTTCAAATAACCGGTACCTATCTTTGTTAATGAGTGACAAATACGTACAAGTGTGGCAATAAAACCTACTCCAATCGAGATAATTCAATAATCCATACAAAATAATCAAGTGAATTTATCCGATTAGATTAATTATGTCAGTATGAATAAAAAGAGTATGATTGTATCCCCACTATTCATGGGTAAACATTTCATTAACTCTTACGTAACATCCATGAAGTTTATCACATTCCCACTTTTGTTATCTAATATTAATCCTTTAAAAGATAAAAAAAGATATTAGATTGTGTTCCCACAGGTTTACGCCTGCTTTGCTTTCTGAGTGTTTCTCATGGTTATGGCTAGTAAGACGGTATTAATAGATCCCCTCAACCACTCCATCCACTCTTTTTTCTTGACCAAAAGCTTTATTCATACGAGACGTAGTAAGAGATCAAGTGGAATGATGAAATATTAAAATATAGTTTAAAAATGATCAATTTAAAAGCTAAAATTTAATTACATCAATCTCTAAACTGATCATTTGAAGACGACAACTACAACAACAGAATCTTTTTTCAGCATACAACCATGATAAGAGTTTAGAGATGTGAAGTTTGTGAATGTGGGTGTAAGTATGGTTGTAATAAGATTGTTTTTTATATCAGGAATTAAAATTTACTGGTGTACTACTAAAATTTCTTACTCTTCATTGCATCGGATGGCTTCCAGGGAATTGGAGAGAAAAAAACTAAAACCCACAAGTTTTATGTCTCACTATAAGTATGATACCAGTCAGCTGGCCTTACTGCCATCCATTTCTTTGTGTTCATCAACAACTTATTTCTTCAATTTTTGCGATTGTTGTCTAGTAAAATTTTATGGTAAAAAGACCTTGAAAATTATACTATTTTATTCAAATGTTGTAATCTAATTTTCGTATATCAGTCAGCTCACACTTCCAAAACATATTTCTGTGTATTAATTAGTTCATGGAACGACACTTTAGGTGTCAAGATGATATGAAATTCTGCATATGCTTTTAGTGTATTTGTGGTTCACTGTTAGAGTGCCCGTCAGCAACGCATGTCGTTTATGTACGATCTCTGCTGGTTGACACACTCTTAAACCTCGTCTAGCCGGTAATAAAGTAACAAGCAAAGACAAGAAACTTGGTAACGGACATTTCGATTGACGAAAAATGCATCATATTTAAATATTTTTAGTCACATTAAATGTCGACTAGATCAGTGGATAATAGACTATTCTGATTGGTTCGTTGATTTTCTGAAAGTTAAATCTTGAGACTATTATGATGAGTTGTCTAGTGAGATTATTTCCTGACCACAGCGTAAGCTAAATCCAGATTTGAAGAATAAACACTTCTACTTCTGTAACCACTGACTTAAAATTTTTTTCACTTCTACCTACTTCTTCCGATCAATTTGTTTCTGTATACTACTGATAAATCTTATCAGTAGCATACGCCACAGTAAAAACCAGAAAAAAGAGGAAAAATATTAGGCAAACCTAGCCGATTAAAAGAATACCACTACGACTACTGAAACTTCAAAGCTCAAGCATGAAGTATTGGTTTTGTAGGGATTTTTGCTTGATTGCATGGAGGATTTCATCATGATGATGAGGCAGTAACTCATCGAATAAGACTTTGCGAAATGGTCACGCCATATCGTGAATCGGTAGAAGTTAGAATTCAAGGACCATTGGATCGGGTCCCAGTGGCTTAGTGGTCTACGAGCTCGCCTTGTAACCAGAAGGTCCTGGGTTCGAACCCGGCAGTAAGAGGGCGTACTGCTAAAGAGTCCCAAACTAGGACGAAACAGCTGTCCAATACCTCGTGCAGGTTTTCCAATGTTTCTCCAACTGATGTCAGCTCATGATGAAATCCTCCATGCAATGAGAAAATTGTTCATAATTAAATGGGCAATCAAGCTCCCTGAATGAATATGTTAAAACAAATATTTTATCACGATAGGCAATAAGCAAAGAGAAGCAATTTTCATTAGAAACTTACCTTTAAATAGTAATATCTTCTATCTTATCTATCAAAGTTAATTCATACTGCTTGAATTCAAATATATATAATTATTATTCTTTCTGGATTAGTTTATCCAAAACTGCTAATGCTAATAACATTCTTTTACATACTAACTATGCACTTAAATTATTTTCGCTAATACGTGCTATCTATATGCCTATTATACTCATCATGAGTAGAAACATATACTAAGCAACCTTTAAAATTTTATTTCAAAATAAAAGTCTATATATATATATATACATATATACAGATAACTTGATAAAGTTTTATTTTACAGGGATCTGATTGATTTCCAATTCAATCACGAACTGACGTCAGTTAGAGAACCATTGTAAACCAGCCGATAGTACTGAGCAGTCGTTCGGTTCAAATTTGGGATCACTAGGCGGTACGCCGCCATGACCCCACTATGGATTAAACCCATAGCCTTCAGGTTACAACGAAAGCCCTGTTGAATAAATTAGAAGGAAATAACTCTCTAGTACTTCTTGCTTTTCTCTAAATTATATCGGTTAATCTTTTCACTTCCTTTTAGTTTGGTCTTAGAAGATTAAATAAATGAATTGTTATTGTGATGAACTAATAATTCTCTATCCTTTACTTCATAATTCTATTGCTGAGCAAAATATATAACGATTCCAGTTACGTTTGAATAGTTACTTCAGTCTGTAAATGTACTGAGGTAATAAGAACTTAATAAGAATTTGTTCTTAAGTTTCTGTTACTTGTTTGCTTCTCATCAGAATCGCATTCTCCTTCTTTGAGTTTTTCATCTACAGCAGATATCGACGTGATACATTACACTTATTATTACCTCTGATTCCGAGTGAAAAATTGGGCTTCAATAGCGTATCTCTTTTTGTCCATCTTTAGCTGACCCCATAATTGCCCATAGGCTCTCAACCCCTCTTCACACTATCTTCTCTAAGTTGTCGTTGGATACGCGTTTAACTCTTCGTTTCCCATTTGGATTCCATTCAACGGGTGGTCTGACTGGCGATTTCATACAACAGTCTCCTCAGTGTGTGTTTTTATCCTCTCTTAGCTTACTAGTTTCTAGCACGTCCTACGCCTAGGTGTGGTGAGAGCTGGCTGCTAGCCAAAGTTGGTAGACAGTAATTTACGTCAATGATTATGTCCCAATATGGGTGGTGAGAAAATGAGAACAAAGGCTTTGCGTAGGCGGATACAGTTAGTATATGGATGATCTGACACAGCCACAAAGAGATACAAGGTTAACTTCCTGTGAGAAACAGCCAATCAAAAGACTGTATTTTCTACTAACAATAATCTACAATAATGTACATTAAAATCTATAAATATGTGTTGATTTTCCTTAATAAACGATCTGTTGCCTGATCCTTGTCTTCTGTTGTTACATAGGGAAAGAGCGGGAGTTGGGCGTTCATGGCTAGTGATCCTACCTTAGAAAGTCAACCCAATCGCTGCAGAAACTTCAAAAGACATCACAGTATACATCACTCATTTCTATTGTTTTTAGTGTCACATACCACATGATCATTGTTAATTCTAAAACAACTGTTAGTAGCTAATACATATTAGACGTCTTAGCGCTCTTTATAAAATTTAATGCTATGGTGTCGATATATTCTCTCACCTAAATGGTTTCATTGTTCTTCTAGACATCCTCTTCAGTGTTAGTTTCATAGTCAAGTTGAATGATGGGAAGTTCAGTGTAATAACCAAACAAAAATGCACCCCATATAACGATAGCATCATATATATATATATATATAAATTAGGTAGGTAGCCTAGTGATTTAATCAGGCCACCAGAACAAGGCGTAAAAATACTAAACATCGGCGTTATTTTCCTTTAACATATTATAACATGCTTCTGCTGTCCCACCGGTTCTTATGCCTTTAATATTGTTTTCTCTTTTCATTTTTACATATTTGCTTTCTGTTCAAAAAATAAAAATTTACCATCACAATAATCTGGACGTGTTCAATAATAATAATAATAATAATAATAATAATAATAATAATCTACACAATTCATAATGGACAACCAAAATAGTCAGCTAAACAATATATGGAAACACATGGGACTGGAATGGGTAAGCAGTATATATATATATATATATATATATATATACACTATTGATTATGCAAATTAGATTTTTTTTAATCATTATTATTATTACCATTATTAATCTTGAAAAAAGACGATATTTATAAATAAATTTTAAAACAACTGTGAGCGGGGAATTTGTTTTTTTAATGCCTGAATACAATTTTCCTAATGAATTAACTAACTAATTAATTAAATAATTAAGTAACTGATTGACTAATGAATTGATAAATCGATCGACTGTCTGGTGATTGATTAACAAACTATATGAATGAATGAATAATTGAATTAACGGATGGATGAATCGATGAAGAGTGAATAAATTAGCTAAGATTGAAGGATTTTGACGTCTTCCGTTTCGCTTAGTCAAGGATACCTATTTAAGGATAAGTCAGATTTGGGGGAATCGCAAAGTCTTAGTATTTTGGCTGACATACTGACTGACTGACTGAGACAAAAGGCGCTTGTGTGGCACTCGCCAACTCAAATCTTCTCTGGTTTAGACGGTATATCCAGCTATCCACAAGAGGATATGTGTATCGTATAACAGTTCCCTCTATCCTACTTTATGTGTCTGTGAGAAATAGGCATAGAAATTTGAAGATATGAAAGGGCTAACTGTCTACCACAACAGATGACTGAGTTCTGTTCCCCTTGTTAAGTGGTATAATATGGTGAGCAATATTGAGGTGAGGCGTATCGTGTTAGGTAGGGAGAGCAAGTCAATCGATGAGGTTATGAGACCGTATCAATTGAGATAGTTAGGGCACGTGTTGTGTATGCTGAGTCACAGTATTTATCGTCGAGAAATGTTAGCTTACATGGGACTGACTTGGAAAAGAGTCAGTAGTGTTCAAATAGAAATCTGACACCAGTGAATGAAGTTTTTGAAAGTTGGTTTGAGCTAGTCAAGTAGGAAGGTTCAAATCATTTGGTTGGGGGTCTGTGGAATGCTAAGACTCGATGACTTGATGATATGGTTCAAAATCGTTCTCAGTGGCGCAAATACAATCATTCTTTATAATCTTCTGGATCCGTTAAATCCTCCAGTTTTTCCAATGTCACAATTTTTTCCCGTACATTTCTGTTTATATATATGTATATATATCCCTTTCTGAAGAGGAGAACAACACTTGTTAAAGAATTGCGTAAAGCACAAATATCACATGTAAGCGTAAACATAAAATTTAGAAAATAGGAATTCCTTATGATCAACTATCGACGACCTCCATCTCTACAAGAGATACATCTATGATACTTTCATTATTTGTGATGAGAATTGTGATCTAAGAAAATCTACTTCAAATCTTCAATAACGCCCATCCAAACATCGAATTCACCCTAGAAGTTGAGTCTTACTCAATGTTTCATTTCCTCGACGTTCAACCACGATGGAATTCAGACAACTTGCTTAGAAGATCCATCTACAGAAAGCCCAAATGGAAAGGAAAGTTTATTTACTTTCAAAGCTGTGTGCCTCTAAGCAGAAAGAGAAACCTAATATACTCTCTTTCCTCGAGGATCCGGAAGATGTGCACTGAAGAGTCGAACGATGAAGAATTACAAAATCCCCAAGGGACCTTGATGGATAATCGATTCCCACCAGATTCATAGACAAGAATCTGAAACTAAAGAAGACACCTGAAAAGCTTCAAGTCGCCCCCGAAAAGATGCTGATATTGAACCTCGAATTTAAAAGTGATATCAAAGCAGAAATTCTCCGCAGACGGTTTCCGAAGTCTCTCAGTAAAAAGTACTTCGCCGCCAGCCTACGAACAACATTCTTCTGCAAGAAACTACTCACCCAACACGTGAAAGACAAGCTGTCGCATTGGGCCACTTGAACATGCATATACAAGTTCACTTGTTCGTGTGGAGCTGAGTACATTGGCCGTACAGTGCATCTGCTTGCAAAACGCGCGCGGGAACACTATCCAACATGGCTAGCAAAGGGAGAACGCAAAGAGGTACGCAGTCCGATAACAGAGCACCTGGTAAATTCTGGACATTCAGCTCCGTTTGAAAATTCCGGGATTCCTAAAAGTGTATTCTACCGGGAAAACTTTACTAGTGGTTTCCATGGAGTCGGATTCGATGACAGATACTCACTGATTTCGTCATACTGGCTGAATAATATCTTGATAGTCTCTAATACCAAAAGTCCTGGATTCGAACCCGAGGGACGAGGTGATGAGTGCATACTACTGAAGAGTTCTAAAGTAAAGTATCTAAAATGCCTGAAGAGTTTGACTCATAAGAATCTTGAATTTGGATTTTATAGTATGATCTGAACAGCTTGATTATTATTATTATTGTTAATACTAAAGTGGAAAAAGATCTAACAATGATAAATGTTAAATGACATATCCCCGTAAATATGGAATCAACTCGGATGAATGTAAGAAATAAATCGGTTTAAGCGTAAATAACATCACAAATCGATAGTTATGAAGAGCATTAATCATTAGACAAATGAATTTGCTAAATTATTCACTTTGATTTTAAATTTGAACAAATTTGTTTTTCAATGGATTTTTTTCTTTCATCATCACATGTTAGGAAGTTTTGGTCAAAATTCTAAATTAAATATTAGAGAGACTAGAGCAGAAAGAAACTCTTCAGTATGAATTAAAGTTTATTTTACCTGTTTCTGCTACATAACTGTCATTCATGCCAGATATTCATTAGAAGAAAAGTTTATAGGGATAAAAAATATGAACAGTTGATAACCAGTTTGATGCACACTAGCAACACACCACGAACCAGATAGACTTCGTCTCAATGCTACTCGGGGAGGGGGAGACGCAGCCTGCTGAACACAAAGTAAAGAAGGGGAGCAGATGTGAGCCCAGACCGTCATCCAGTTCAAGGAACTTTCAAGGTGAAGCTGAAATCCATGAAAACAACTGGAGTCAGGCCACCGTGATTCCAGTTCAACATTCAGAAACTGAAGGACAAAACTACAAGAGATGCCTTCACTACAGACCAGATCAAAGCAAATTGCTGAAACATTACGTGATATCACTGAGGAAACCTGTTTGGAAGAACATTGGAACCAGCTCTCTAAAGGTGATGTTCAAGGAAACGTGTGCAACTGTTCTCGGGAGAAAGAAGAGAGAAGACAATGGCTCTCAACAGACACCTACCTTGGAGCTAATAGAAGAGAGGAGAGGAGGATGCTGAAAGAGAAGATGGCTCAGTGCAAAGATGGACAACAGAAGGAGAAGATGAGTTCAATGTGCACTGCACCGAATAAAGAAGTGAAGAAGAGTGCAAAGGAAGACAAAAGACAATTCTATGACATACTGGCCAACAGTTTAAGTAAAACAGGTAGGCCACAGCTAAAACGGACCTCAGGACACTATATCAGATCACCAAATCTCTACCAGGAAAGAGATCAGCACAGATGATAAAATCATTAAAAGATGCTCAAGGGAACCTGATTACCAAGGAGGAAAAACAAATAAAACAATGGGCTGATCAATTTACAGGACTCTTGAATAGACCATTACATGCACTTCGCCCAGAAATACCATCATTCACACCACACACAGAACTGCCTGCCAGTGGACACCAATCCTCCAAGAAAGCAGAAATCTTGAATGCGATCAAACTACTAAAGTCCGGGAAGGCAGCAGGACCAGACGAAATTCCCCCACCCCGAAGCACTGAAAACGGAACAAGAGATTGTGGCTGATGTGCTCACACCATTATTGCAAAACGTTTGGAAGAAAAGAAAAGGTGCTTACCGATTGGAAGGAAGGCTGACTACCTTGTCAAGCTGCCAAAGAAGGGCAAATCTTGTTAGTCCTCTAAAAGAACTGGCGTGGAATACCCGCTGTTGTCCAAGCTAAGTAAAATTCTGAGTCGCGTCATCCTGTAAAGAGTAAAAGATGCATTGGATGCAGAACTCCGCCAGCCACCAGAACAAGCTGAATTCAGGAAAGGCAAATCATGTGCTGATCAAATGGCAGCTCTACGCATCGTCATCGAACAAAGCATAGAATGTCGGTCAAACCTCTCCCTACCTTCATTTCATGGACTTCGAAAACGCTTTCGATACTGTTTAGCAAGAAGTAATTTGGAAACTACTTTAACACTACAGCGTGCAGTATTCATTTCTTTATCAACCTTATTCAACAGCTAGCCATATAACAATGCTAAGTGTCAGGTGATCCACAACGGAAAACTCAGCGAAGCCTTCTGTTGAAGTAAATACAGGAGTAAAACTAGGCTAGCTGCATATTATCACCGATTATATTCGTAATCGTGGTGGACTGGATTATGCGTCAGACTGTGCACAGGGAGCGAGTAGAGAGGAATATGCTGGACCACCGATAAGAAGACTCTCGAAGATTTGGGTTTCGTAGATTATATATTTCTAGTGTCATGAAAACTCGAGGACTAACGGGCGAAAACCAACAAACTGGCAGGCAGCGAAGACAGGACTGCAGGTGAACACAGGGAAGACGGAGGTGATGAAGATAACCAAGCAACAACAACCAGCACCAGTAACCATCAACGTGATAGATTTGATAGAGGTTACTTCCTTCACTTACCTAGGAAGCATGGTTTCAACCACAGAGGGGACGGATGGGGGTGTAAACACCATCCGGAATCAGAAAGGCAAGATACGCTTTGATCAACCTGAAACCAGTGTAGAAATCTCCTCCATTCATCATAAAGAACAAGATTCGGTTTCTGTTCGGCGCAAATGTCAACTCAGTCAGTCATTTCTTCTATTCGGGTCAGAAACTTGCACCGAGTTTCACGAAAGGCATTTCTAACAAGTGACAGACTTTTATCAACAGCTGACTTCTCTGGCTTCATATAGAAGATTGAATCGCCGGCTGGAAAGAATTAGCAACAAGAAACCCTGTCTGGGAACAAACCAACGAAGAACCGATTGCTCAACAAATATGTAGGAGCAAATGGAGATGGATCGGGCATACATTGAGGAGGCCATTGAATGACATCGCGCGCCACGTCATTGCTTGAGTGGAATCCTAATGGGAATCGATGAGTCGATCGTCGGTGAGAAGGTGACATGGAGGAGATTGTGTGAGTTGGAGGAGGAGATGATAGATTATGGTCAATAGTGGACCTAGCTGAACAGGATGACAGAGAATAGAATAAAGTGGAGATGTTTTACTGAAATGAATGAAAATTACATTTCGTTATGGCCAAAATTTATGATGGTGAACTCCAGCAAGCTTTAGTAGATGAGGTGTTCCTTCATCATTTAATTAAGATGAATGCTCCCAACCTAGTGAGCAATGTTCACTGAAGTTGAATAAAGTGGTTATAAAAGTTTTAGAAATGGTCATGTGAAGAATCTATGAAGTGCTTGACTGTTGATCTAATCAATGTATGGTGTAAACTTGGTTGCTTTACATGATAAGAATCAATGATATACGAATCTCTGTGACATAAACTATACCTAATTACGTTCAGTATCGCCAGAATATTTTATACTATTCAGTCACTGGGACCCGATCCAATGGTCAACTCATGAATTCTAGCTTCTACCAATTCGTGATTTGAATGCGACCACCGACCACTGTCATCGGCGGGAACTCCACTCCCGACTGGGTGGACCCAACTGGTCACTACTTTTCATTAGAACTCTAGGTAGCTTCGTTCTGTAGCCAGTACGGTCCACTTTATTGGGTGTGAGGAAAGATACTCACCAATTGCATTGGCTGGTGGTCACGCTAAAATCAAGAATTGGTAGAAGCTAGAATTCATGAGTCAGCGGTCTGGGTCCTGGTGGGTGAATGGTCTAGTGATTGGATTGATTTTCTGGGATAGAATCGCTAGCTTCATGCGTAGGACCTCTTAGTCAACTAGTCGAGGTTATTAAAACAATAAGAAAGCGATTATCACGAACCTGAAAGATGATTAAGAGTGAATATATCTACACAATTGGGAACTAAATCAGGATTTTCAACGCTAATGTGACTTGAGTTCTTCTCTGTGCTTCAGAGATTTAGTGCCTAATGAGAAGCATTCCCAACAGTTCGCTGCAGACTTTCACTAACAGATGTTTATCTCGCTCAGTGCTGAAAGTCAGATGATCAGAGAGAATTACACAAATTAGGAATTCTAGCAGCGAACCAACCAGAAACATATCGCCCAAGAAATGTTCAGAAGGAAATGGAGATGGATCGGACATACACCGAATGACATCGTGAGCGAATCAGGCCCTCGACTGGAAGTGGTATGGGAAAAACGACGAGTTGAGTACGGATGTGAGAGTGATATAGAGGAGATCGTGTGAATAATAGGCAAGAGCAGATTGAAATTAGTGGAGTCAGCTTAGGAGGACTCTACAGAGTACAGGACGAAATAGGGATGTGCTATTGAAACTCTCTTGAACTTGGAAAACAAGGGAATAATAGTAATATTCCCAAAATTTGGAATTTTAATCACTTTCATAGGAGGTTGTTATTTGATTGTCCTATTTGTTCTCGTACTCTCAGTTGTTTAGTGTTCAGCCACTGTTAATTATCATTTATGCGTTATTTCAATAGGTTTTCGCCCGAATAGTAAGACATTATTTCAATCTCCAGAAATGTAATCCTTCATTTCTGTGCAACAAAGAATCTGTACTAATCTGTTCTGATTATCTAAACATTATCATTTATTATCATTATTTTTTATAGGTGAATCAGAAACTTATGCTATACTGTTTCAACATACACCATGTTATGATTTAGTACCTGACAGTGCTAAACTTCTTTTATTGGATAGTCAATTAACTGTGAGTTATTTTCAATGTTGTATTATAATTTTATAATAAATGTATTCTTATTTCGTCTTTAAAATATCGAAACATACGCCACTTGAATCTTAGATAATTTTATAACAGAACCCTTTACTCAGATATCGTGCTTCTTGATACTTACTAGTCAGCAAGGCATAACTGCTACACTGAAGGGACTAGGATATGAACCCGTGTCACCCCTAGTATTGTATTTGGAGGCTTTATCACTTGGCTGTTTCCACTTACGATTGACTTTCTGTAATGAATGGTCACCAGACAGCAGCCGATGTTGTGTCTGTTCCTTGATTTTTGATACTGATTGTGTTGTATTAATCCAGTTTGTAATGCAATCGCGTACCGCCTGCCTCTCACCGTGATTGTGATTCATCTGATTTGTTGATCATATTGCAAACTTGACTGATTGAATTGGCTTCACTATCAAACATTAAGGATTAGACACATGAAAGCGGGTTACTCTCCAGTGACCAAATCGTTCAGTGAAGTGAATTTGCTGGAAACTCTACATATAAGTGACTTTTACTGTAGCTACTTCTTGGCGTTAACGTTCATCTGCATTTGCAGTTGAATATGTTGGTGAGACTATTTAAAGATAGTCTTAAATTTTCAGACCTTTCAACTGATAACCGATGGTTATTGAAGGATAACAACCAGTAGCCTCTAGCTTACCAGTACGGTTACCTACTAGCTGAACTACTGGACCCATGGATGAAATAATAATAATTTTCTTTATTCCAAAACACTACTTCTGATACAACATGGAATTCTCAATATTCCATCTAATTTACTCAACAAAAGCAAAAAAAATATTTCATTGGTAGAAGGATTCCATCATGAGCTGACATCATTTAGAGAACCATTGGAAAACCTGCACTGAGTACTGGACAGCCGTTTCGTCCTAGTTTGGTACCCTCCATCAGTACGCACCCACACTGCGGGGTTCGAACGCAGGACCTCTTCGTTACAACGCAAGCTCGTAGACCTTAAATCCACTGGGACACAAAACAATGGCCAGCCCATGAATTCTAACTTCTGCCAATTCATGATATAGCGCGAGCACTTCATAATGTCTTCTTCGATGAGTAAATGTCCTCATCTTTGACTTGCTGTACCCTCCTCGTCACGTCTTCCCACTAGAACCACATGTAACTGTCCGAATAGGGCCAGTCGCTAATGAGTATCAGATTAATCTTCAGGTATTCGTTTTGTAGGGATTTTGTTTGATTGGTTGAAGGATTTCATCATGGCAGGAGTTAGAATTCATCGGCCATTGGATCGGTTCGCAGTGGCTTAATGGTCTATGAGCTAGCTCATCTTGTAACCAGAAGGCCCTGGATTCCAACCCAGGCGGATGCGTACTGCTGAGCAGTCCCGAACTAGAACGAAACAGCTGTCAGTTACTCCATGCAGGTTTCCCATTGGTTCTTTAACTGATGTCAGCTCATGATGAAATCCTCCTAACAATCAAACAAAATCCCTACAAAAGTAATACTTGAAACAAAATTATTTCATGGTATAGCTAACCAAAATTGATAATAGCAGCATTTTCGTCATTATCAGTAGCAATAAATTCAAAAATGTACAAAAAGTGTAAATTGATAAGAATAATATTAATACTTAAAACTATAAGATACTTGAAATAATGTTAGCATTTCTTTTGACTACAGTAGTAACAAGCTGACGTAGTTGTACACTACTTGCCCTACTGACAACGTTTAATACCCTTCGTAATAAGACATTGTCTTTTCTGAGTAGTTCAGAAAAAACTAAGGGGGAACAATAAAAAACAATAGGTAGGATTCAAGAGTTTAAAAAAATGTAAAAGTAGAGGCTGACTGATATCTGATTACCTTAACTTCTAAAAGTAGTAGGTTAGCTGGAATGTTTTCTTAGAAATTCACAAGATATGGGATGACCAAGAAAGGTCAGATGAAAAAAAATGGTATTTAATACTGGTTGACTTAGTTTATATTTCACTACCCTCTATGCTACAAGCATCATATGAACTGATAAGTCCGTTAAGATAACGTTTATGTTTGAAAGTGAAGTTAAATCTCTGACATTTTGGAGGGACTTTAGGTAAGATTTTTTATCCTAGACAGCTGACTGATTTCCAACAAGAAACTATTCAGTTTGGAACAGTCAGATCGGAAGGTAACTGGCAACGAGACAGTCAGATCACCAGCATACTTAACAAAGTTGATTTCTTCTGAAAGAGGCAGGTCATGTAAGAATAAGTGAAAATGAAGAGGAGAGGAAAGAGAACAGCACTTTGAAGGACACCGACCTCAGTAATCAAGGCAGCGGCAGATTTGCTTTGATATACAGTTTACTGCATTCTATTAGAGAAATAAAAATGCAACTAATTAACAACCTAAGACTGTGTTTGTATCAAGGAAAGCTTATTTAATATAAGATATCTGGGTACACATTCAGTGGTGACCCGATTTGTAGCTAAGACTCTTAGCTGAGTTGGTGGACCACTGCACTGGTAATTCGTAAGCCGGTCTTTGGAATTCTAGCACTCCTTACATTTTCAAAGCTGATTATGCCGTCTAGGAAGACAATAAAAGTTTCGTTCGGCTCAAAGAATACAACCACATTTAAAAGAAATGTAAGTATCATGAAAATTAAGAGGAATCAGACTTAGCTACAGGTGAATCATAAGCGACACTCCCCAGTTTTCCAGTGGTACTCTAACTGATATCATCTCGTGGCCAAACTTGAAACAAATAAAATCTTTACAAATTAACTCTTGAAAGTTAATTTGATGCTTGCTAGCTACTGGCTACAGGATGGATTTGTCTGGAGTTCTAGTGAGAAGTTGTGACCATTGGAGTCCACTATGTCGGACGTGAGAACAAATACTCGCCGATGAAATCGGCTGGTGGTCACACTAAAATTACAGATTGGTAAAAGTTAGAATTCATGAGCTGGCCATTGGATCGGATCTCAGTGACTGGATGGTTTCCCTAGCTCGCTTGCCTTGTAAGTGCGAGTGGAAGGTTCTGATTTTGAACCTTCATAGGGTGCGTACTGTTAAGAAGTTCGTCATGCTGAGGAAAAAATAGATACATTCTACATAATATGTGTAGAAATGTTCACATTCACAGGTATATTCTACATAAAAATGCAGAGTACCTAATCTTACTTCTTCGGTGCGTCGGTGGCACAGCGGTTAGGACGCTCGCCAACCATGCACATGGTCCGGGTTTCGATCCCTGGCGGACGCACTCCTTTACCTCTCTAAGCCAGAAATAAAAGCTGGTAAAGAAGAGAGGTTGGGCATGAGGCTAGCAACCCCATCCTGTAAAAATAAACACTGCTACAGAAACTTCAAGTCTCTAGCTTGGAGCCATATGTTCCACTGGGAACGTGAAGCAATAATATAATCTTACTTCTTCGGTAGCTTAAAAAGTCTGACTTCAGTCTTTTATGGGAAATCTTTTGTTCGTTTCTCCATAGTGTTTATTTTCCTTGATATTTCTACACTTATATGATACTAATCTTTTTTTTTCTGTAAGATAAATAGACGGTGAAACTGTTGATAGTAGTGTGTTTGTATGTATTTATGTGTGTGTGTGTGTGCGTGAAATTTCCATACATAAATTAGATTTAAGATTAATTCAATCTACTCAGAAATGTTTTTCTCAAGAATATTTTATTTTTATGGTATAACTGTTATCAATATTTACATATATATTTTATTTATAATAAAAACAGTTATACTCACACACACACACACACACCAGTGAAGTTTAGTTTGGCATATATTGTTGTCCATAACCGATTTAAAAGACAATTATTTCTGAAAATAGAAGGCGTTTTCATTTAGAATCAATGATGTGATTTACATGGAATCTGGAACTGCCAAATTCGATATAACAAGATGCAGATCGTGATCTAACTAACCTGAAACAAATCAACACCTAGAAATTAGTTGAATGTCCATTAGTGATTGACTACAGGATATCGTGGCTAGAGTTTTACTGAGAAGTCATGACCGGTGGTCTTCGCCATTTCGGGTGTTAAAACAAATACTGATCAATAACACTGATTGTCGATGGTGCCACCTATCTTGAATTGGATGGAACTAGTTAGAGTTCATGGTTCCCAGGTTTCCATCCTAATGGATAAATGTTCAAAGGACTCACCCCGTAACTAGAAGGTCGTAGGTTTGACCCGTAACGGTGGAGGGATTGGTACGTACTCCTGAGAAGTTCCAGATGTCCAGTACTCCTTTATGTTAAATAATTTCCTAAATGATGTCGGATCATGATGGAGTACACATTGAATTTTCACTTGTTGCCTTTAGGCTTCTAGCGTCTACCCACACGTCACAATGATTTCGAATGAAATTTTCCGGATAATTAGTATGTTTTAAGGCTATTCGATTTGTTTGTAGCATGACATATCTAAAGCTAATATCAAAGTCACAACAGTACCTAAAGAATGATTAGTTTCCGCTCTTCTGAAACCCATCTGTTCTCTAACTGAAGTCATTTTCTGGTTGAAATTGAAATCAATGAAATCTCGGTAAACTTACATTCGAAAATTAATTCAGTAATCAGTAATAACTGCCTGAATCTATAGAGAGAAGTCGTGATCAGCGGAATCCACCATGTTGGTCATGAGGAAAGATACACACGGATGACACTGACTGGCTGTCACTCTATATGTCGTAAATCGACAGAAGTTGGAATTGATGGGCTGTTGGGTTGCTTCCTAATGCCTGAATAGTCAACAAGTTCAATTCTTGGCTGGGTCATGGGTGTGTATTGTCGAAGAGTCCCAAAGAAGGACGAAATATCTATCCAGTACTCCCAACTGGTTTCCAATGCTTCTTTAACTGAAGTCAATTCGTGATCAAAATGAAATGAATATTATCAAAACATTACTAAAATGAATGACAATAATAATAATTGTTATTAATATTCTCTATTTTATTTTATAATTCATTTTATATATTACTCAATTTTTTTATATCAGATAGACAAAGCATTTAAAGCACTTATTTATAATGGGATACGTGCTGCACCAGTATGGAATTCAGAAAGTCAAAGTTTCATTTCAATGCTTACAGTTACTGATTTTGTACAAATGTTAAATTATTGTTGGAATCCACCTGTAATATCGAATAAATCAGATGCTAAAACTATGCAAATTGATGATGTCGATCAAATGACAATACAAAAATGGAAAGGTAAAAAAAATAGACGCCTACTTCCTCTCATTATTATTATTATTACTATTATTATTAACACTAATTTGCTTGCCTAATGGTTTATAATATGCTTGATATTTCAATGTAGATTACGTCATGAATCAGTGGCGACTTTGCTCACCGGTTTAATATCAGTTAGAAAATCATTGAAAGCCGAGAAGTATTGGGCTGGGCTGTTTTGGATCATTCACTTCTGTTCCAAACGATTGAATTATCGACGGGCTTGACTGATAGCATAAAGGTTCTGAGTTCGATATATCTGGTGGGTTTGTTTGTGTGTCCAATGTTGAAAAATCTCAGACAAAGACGAAAAAGTTGTTCAGTAGTGATCTCAAGTTTTCAGTGATTCTCTAACTGTGATGTTAGTGTGCGACGAAATCTGCAACGAAATTATTTCAAATCTCACCCGCCCCCCCCCTCAAAGAACATAACCTAAGTGCTTGATATTGTCAAAGCATTATTTCTTTTAAAAAAAATGAAGTCTATAAAAACATTGGAAGATTGTTCAAATAAGTGAATGCCTTTCTTTCCATTTTATTATTATTATTCCCTTTGGTTCCGAGTGGAACATAGGGTTTGAACAACACATCTCTACTTTGTTTTAATCTCTACCGTCCTCTTCAGCTGGATCCACGATTGCCCATAATCTCTCATCTCCTCCTCCAACTCACACAATCTCCTTCATGTCATCCTCTCACCGAGGACACACTCGTCGCTTCCCATTGGAATTCCACTCGGGGGATGGCCTGGCACGTGATGTCATTCGACTACCTCCTCAACGCATGCCCTATCCATCTCCATTTTCTACTTCATATTTGTTGAGCAATCGGTTCTTGGTTTGTTTGTTCCCAGACAAAGTTTCTTGCTGCTAATTCTTTCCAGCCGGTGATTCAATCTTCTGTATGGAACCGGCGAAGGGAGCTGTTGACAAAAGTCTACAGGGGCCTGTCGCAAATACTTTTCGTGACATACTGTGCAGGTTTCTGACCCGAATAGAAGAACTGACTGACTTGACATTTGTGTTTAACAGAATCCAAATCTTTTTCTTTATGCTGAGTGCAGAATAATAGAATAATTATATTTGATAAAACATACATTGATACAGTATCATTTACTAACTGATGACGTTCTGAGTAGAATTTACTGCTCAGATGACTTTCAGACTTTTAAATAGTTCCATTATTTGTAATTAGTAGTGTTCTCTGAGATGGTTGGTTTAGTTGCGGACATTTTGTCGTCCTTCTGGAAAACATCCCCTTTCAGCACAATTTTGAGCGTAAAGTGAACTGATTTAAATTTCCTCATAAGTGGTAGAATAGCGTCTCCCGGTAACCATCTTTACATATGTATTGATCGTTTTTTATTGACTCGGAATTTAAACTTTCTCGTTGTATGATTTACTCTTTATTAGTTGGTATATTTGGTCTATATTAATTAACATGTTTGTTAATTACATATTCGTTTGAGTACCAGGCTTCTAGGAATTCCCTGGCACTTTTGGTGTTTCCTCTGTCTAAAATTTCGACATTATCCCAATCAAACTGATGTCCATAATTATCTATATGTCGAAGTTTTAAACAGAGGAAACACCAAAAGTGCTAGGGAATTCCCAAAAGCCTGATACTCAAGCGAATATGCGATTAACAGGCATATTATTATAGACCAAATATACCAACTAATGAAAAGTAAATCATGCAACGAGAAAGTTTAAAATCCAAGTCAATGGAAAATAATCAATACATATGTAAAGATGGTTACTGGGAGATTCAATTCTATCACTCATGGAAAATTTAAATCAGTTCATTTTATGCCAAAAATTGCTCCGAAGGGAGATGTTGTCCAGAAGGACTACGGAAGCTCCGCAACTATACCAACCATCTCAGAGAACACTACTGATTGCAAGACATCCACCTGAGCTACATATCTTCTCTATCATTTCATAGTTCCATTATGTTTCTAATCCTTTGAATTCATTGTCTTTAACATTTTCAGTATCTCTTCTACTGGTTTTGCGTTATTCATATTGCACGTATAATATGTAGATTTGATTAAAAGAGATTCAGTGGTCCATCTCTCTCTCTTTCTCTCTTCACCTAAGTATACTACTTTTTTTAGAACTGTAGCTTTGTCCTACTCTATGGTGTGTGATTGTGTGTTAACGCATTCATCATTGATGAGTGTTTTTTTCTTATCTGTTGATCTATACTTAACCAAATGTCTATGTTCTTATAAGTAGCATGATCAAAACATTTAATTTTCTGTCACTTTACTTGTCAATCAATACCCTATAGTTGAACGCTTAAGATTGTTTCACATGATCTGTTCATTACTACTTATTTACACGTGGTTAGTAGGCGAAAGTATTGATGAATATATTGAGATGAAGACCTGGTTATTTATAGTAGCTGAATGGTTAGTCACTCAATCCAACTGTAGCATTGCATTTCATTTCTTCTAGTCTGAAAGTAAATTTAACACACGAGTGTATTATCACGTAACACTAAGATTAGATAGTAAAATATACAAAATAATAATAGAAAAATTCATTAGATTATTTCGTTATAATAAAATATTCATATGTCTAATCAGTTTCAGTTGTCACAACCTCCTTATTATTATTATTGCTATTCATTATTTGCATTCGATGTGCGTCGGTGTTTCAGCGGTAGAACGCTCTCCAACCATGCCTCAAGTGGTCTGGGGTTTGATCTCCCGCCCAACTCACTCCTTAACCTCTCTAAGGTTAGGCATGAAGCTAGCAATTTCACCCCGTAAAAAGACAACATTACCGCTATTGGAATTTCAAAGTTCTATCATGAAGCCCTATGTTCCACTAGGAACGTAAAGGAATACAAAAAGTAATGAACTTACGTTTGGTTGCATGTTTCGAGTGTACTCCGTTCTATTCATTAACTTTCATCTCGCCACACGGTTGACTACACGCTTTCATTTCCTCTTCACATAATCTTCTCCATGTTACCCTCGGATTCATTCCCACTAATCATTGTAGGGACTGGCTGGTGTATGATGTCACTTGACTATTTCTTCATGTGTATTTTCAGTCCAACTCAATTTTCTTCTGCCTAGTTTATTAGCCGCTTTTAAGGGCGTGTAAGAGGTAGGCTTGTTTGGACATGTCGCTAGCATACTGTAACTCCATCCCTCCATAAAATCACTGCCATCACTAGAGAAAAATCAAAACACACCTTCATACTTAATATCAACCCAGTTATCAAAACGACTTTGATAATTGAGTTGAGCTGATAAGAAATTGATATGTAATAATAATTATGTAATAATAATTAATATGTAATAATAATAATAATAATTTACTTTATTCCAAAAACAGTACTTATAATACAGAATGGAATTCTCAGCATTTGTCACAATATTGCATCTGATTTACTCAAAATATAAATAAAATTAAAACAAAAATTAATCGGAGGAATTTGTCCACATTAACGACATAATTATTAGATATAATAATAATAAATACTAATAACAGTGAGTTTTTTTCAAACGGTATTGTCGATTCAGTTTGGAAACTTTAGCATGTTATGGATAATTGGGTCTAATGTTCTGTTGATATGGTATAGTGAGGTGAAATACAAAGTTAACAGTCATAATACAGCTTAAAATTATGTCCACACTCATGAAAAATAAAATAAACAAAACGAAAAAATTGAGAGGATTATAAATATAAGAAATACAATAACAATAAAGTATGATGCTTTAAGGTTGAAGGAAATGGTCTATTTAGTGGTGCTAAGAAGGTTAGTTAGTTCATTTCTGACACTATCTTCATCACATAGAGTACGTGCTAAATATGGTATAGTGGAATTTCTATACTTAGACGTACGTGCATAAAGTCTTCTGAAAAGACTTCTTGTTTTACCTGAGGAGACACAAGGTTGGAGCTGCTGGTAGAGTGGGTGCTCAGAGTCTGACAAAATTCCTCTAGCGAATCTCTTGCATGACATCAAATGCCTATCGGTGACAATGCCAACGATATGGCCCAATGGGATACCACTCGTCCTACTGACAGTCTTCAGAGTTCTACGAAGTACGACATAGTCCTTTTTTAGCAATCCAGGAAAGAATAATGGTGAACAGTAAAGAAGAATAGGTAAAATACACGAGTTGACAAACTGTAAGAGGAGTGGTTGGGTTATGCCTGAGTGCCTCAACTTCTTAATGTAAAAAGTCAGACGAAATATTCTTTGAGAAATCGCCAAGACATGAGAAGACCAAGATAGGTCAGAAGAGAGAACTAATCCAAGATACCTAACTTCAGACTGGGTTTCTATATCAGTATCATCGATTTTACAAGGGTCATAGGAACCAACGGCTTCATTTAACTTTCGTTTACATCGGAAACTGAAATTAACAGTCTGACATGGTGGTACTGGATCAAGTTAGTCTGGATACTTTTGCTCACGCCTATGTCCTTGTCTAGGAAATATCCCTATTGGCTATCTTCACTCTCGCAATGCTATTGGCCACAACAGTATATATATATATACATCATTGTTTTCTTTGGATTTTCTACTCTCTTATACAGGTGAACATACCTTACACCTTACGCCGTGGTGTGTTCTAGCTTAAGTTTTGCAGGTTAAGGCAACATGTATCTGTTGTATAATGTTGTTAGCGTAGTCAAGTGGTGTTTTTAGTCAGCGCATCTGTGCCCAGCATCCGCCTCTCTATCCTGTTCCAATCTCACTCTCATTGCACAGACAAATTAGCTGTTCATAATAGAAGCTGATGGTAGGTAGCATTGTGTTGATTTGAATCAACATTCTACTAGGATTGTTAATCTAACTGCTGTTGTTAATTTCACCACGAAGATGATGAATACTAAGACAGTTTTTAAGTAATTTGATTGTTACAATGAAACAAATATCCTGAACTCATTTTTATGTAGAATTTCGAGTATACACTACTCAAGAGGTTTCACACTCAGAGAATAAAATAGCCCGGTACCAACGAATATTTTCAAGAATTAGTTTGTAGGGATTATATTTGTTTCAGTTTAGACAACGGATTGATATCAGTTAGAGAACCATTGAAAACCAGTACTGGACAGCTGTTTCATCCTAGTTTGGGACTCATAGGCACTACATGCCCACCGCCATGGTTTCAACGCAAGCTCATATACCATTCAGCCACTGGGATCCTATCTAATGGCCGGCCCATGAATTCTAACTTCTACCAATTCGCGATCGTTTTAGAGCGACCACCAAGCCAAATCATCGGTGGGACATCTATCCTCAGACTTGACTGGATGGACCTCACTGGTCACTACGTCCTGTAGCGAGTCACTGGTCAGCATCAGATTAATTTTCAAGAGTTGGTTTGAAAGGATTAGATTTGTGAGGTCCAACTAGTCAAGTGTGAGGATGGATTTCCCACCGATGACATGGGTTGGTGGTCGCACTAAAACGATCAGGAATTGATAGAACTTACAATTCGTGGGCCGGCCATTGGATAGAGTCCCAGTAGCTGAATGGTACACGAGCTTGCCTTGGAGCGGGAATATCCTGGGTTTGAACCCTGATGGTGGGTGCGTACTGCCAATAACTCCCAAACTGTACTGAGGAAACAACTGTCCAGTACTCTAGTACTGGTCTTCAATGGTTCTGTAACTGATATCAATCTGTGGTCAAAGTCGTAAAAACAAATCTTATCCTTACAAACCAACTATTGAAAATACATATTTTTCTATTCCCCTAGTTACTCAATGTAATCTTCTATGTATCTGGTCTAGGTGTTGCATCATTTCGATTGCACGTGTTTTGTGTTGATTCGATGAAAAAAGCCTCAGTGGCACTTGTCAAGAGACAAACTTTATCAGCTTGAGGACTCGATAGATCCAGTTTTTAAAAAATAATTATGTACTTCTCAATAGAAGTACTACATCAACTGTTTCACCATTAATAGATTCGCGGAATTCGATGTACTTCTGAACTATTTAGGGGTATGCAGATGATCGATCTTTAGAAGTAAGGCCTTCAGAGCATACCTGGTAAGCATCACTTCAACTACAGGCGGAACTGACGAGGATATCAAAGCAAGAATCGGAAAAGCAAGACAAGCTTTAACTACTCTCAAGTCTGTGTGGAGGTCAACAGCACTCAGCATCATAAATAAGATCCGGATTTTCAACTCCAATGTGAAGTCAGTCAGTGCTACTGTACGGATGGATCAGAGACTTGACGTGTCATAAAGAGCATCTCAAACAAACTACAGACCTTCATTAACAGTTGTCTTCGCTCAATACTCAAGATCAGATGGCCAGAAAAGATCAGCAACAGAGATCTTTGGGAGCGAACCAACAAAGCAGGAACCGATTGTGCAACAAATAAGCAGGAAGAAATGGAGGTGGATTGGCCATACTCTGAGGAGACCATTAAGTGACGTCACTAGACAAGCCATTGCTCGAGTGGAACCCGAACGGGAAGCGCTGAGTTGGTCGTCAGTGCGAGGGTGACTTGGAGGAGGTCATATGAAGAGGAGATGAAAGCATGTTGGCAGACTTGGAGCCAGGTAAAGATTCTAGCAGAGAACCGAACGCAATGGAGACGTACGGCTGAAGCCCTATGTTCCTCTGGAATTAAAGGAAACAATAATAATAATAACTTCAGAGCATATGCGCTAAATGGCTTCTGGAAAAAAAAATAATATAATTTATTAAATACCATGATATGGACTATGAGGTGAATAACACAGATCAAACTAATATAATAGATCGGGTTTAATTAGATTATTGGTATACTGGAATTCACCTAGAGATAGAATTATTTACTCGGCTAAGTTCAATCACCTAGAAAAACAATCAACCACTGCAATGTATTCACTTACATGCAATTACGCAATAGGGTTGGTTTGAAAGGATGAAAGTATCAAAATGTAATTTAGTTTGGTGAAGAAAGAGAGAGAGAGAGATTAATCACTGAATCTTTGTTCATTGAATCAACACAAAACACGTGTAATTGGGATGCTGCAACACCTATACCAGATACATGAAAGATTACACTGAGTAACTAGCGGGAAGAGAGAAAAAATATGTATGTATGCAAAACGAAATAATGAATGAAGTCGTGTGACTAACTAAATTGATATCATAGTGAGCAATAAATTGTTCTCGAAAGATCATCCAGTTATTAATACTGTATCACTCACTCACTCACTCACTGTGTGTTAGCTACTTCAAATAAATTTATTTATCTAATATGGAACAACTTTATAGAATTTGTTATTTTTCCATCTAAATTTCATCATGTTTACACATTTACCATATGAAGCATCATCTAATTACCGAGATTTCCAGTCAACACTTAGGCTCACTAGATTGAAAAGTTAATTAGGATGCATTAAATTAGCTATGACTTAAATAAACTTTCCAATTGCTTCCTTTAAAGGCTACACATTTTTTTACTGGTTTACTGCTTTTTTAAAGGAACATATTAAAAGTAAAGTTTAATTAAGAATTAGGCATTCTATGAATAAATGGGATCCTGTTTGCTTCTTTCTTTACATTACTTTATGTGTTCCAGTTGGATCGTCTGAGGCTTCAAGCTTCAGGCTTTATACTTCCATTAGCCGTGGTGATATTTTCTTTACAGTTTAGGGTTGTTAACTTCAAACCCAGCCTACCCTCTTTTTCAGGCTTACTACCGGCTGGGTTTAGACCGTCGTGAGACAGGTTAGTTCTACCCTACTAATGAGTACACTAATCAGTGAAGTACAATCTGGCCGTTGCTATGGTGATCCTGTTTAGTACGAGAGGAACCGCAGGTTCAGACAATTGGTATATGTGCCTGGTCGAAAGGTCAATGATGCAAAGCTACCATCTGAGGGGTTAAGACTGAAAGCCTCTAAGTCTGAATCCCGTCCATATTTGCAACGGTACATTCCGTATCCGACACGTGGCTGGGCAAGCTTACGTATTCCTTTTGGTGTCTGGACTGGACCATGTGTTCGGCTAGGCCCATTAGGTCTGGTGTTACGCCAGAGCGATGACCATAAACTATGCTCCGGATTTCGGGGTGTAGGGGTCGACACGATATCTAATTATGGTATGAGCGTGAGGATACTAAATCGTTTGTAGACGACTTAATGTTTTGTCGGGGAGACCTAAGTACTCGAGCAGCTATCACACTGCGAGGCATTGAGTCCTATCCCTGCTTGACTAACCCAGGCGAGATTAGTCAGAGTGTATTGGCTGAGAATCGAACCTAAGACCACTTATAGCATGCCTGGAGAGTATTCCACCATTGAACAACCGATGAGCAATCATTCTCAGCATACTTAAACCTATAGTTTCAAGCTTAAACTCTCAAGTTTAACTAACAGTGATTGTTTTACAAGTTGGAGTTGTTAGACTCACGCCCAAACCTTCCCTCTTTATCAGTTTTACTACTGGCTTAGCGAGTTTTAGGGATGAGTCAGCCAGGAATCAAACCCTAGACCATATGAAGCATGGTTGATGACTGTTCAACCAGTGAACTACCAACTCATTATATATATGTATATATATATATATTTCAGTGCTTTGAATAATGTTTGTTCCTCCTGTCTCTTTCTTATGTTTTGTAGACATTGTCATAGCTGATAGAACCCATCGTTTATCCTTACAATTATCGTCGTCAACAAATAAATATTTTAACAAGTCTATGAGTAAATCACGGAATAGTATAGCTCTGACAACATTATGGCCACCATCGAATTGTGTCAGTAGTACATCATCTTCTTCGTCATCATCATCATCATCATCACCATCAAATTCAAGATCATCTAGTGCTAATAGCAGTAGTGGAAGAAGTAATGCTAGTCGGAGTAGGAGTAGGAGTCGGAGCAGCAGCGGCAGCAACGACAGCAGCAGTGGAAGCGATAGCAGTAGTCAAAGTAGTAGTAGTAGTCGTAGTAGAAGTGGCAGTCGTTCAAGTATAACATCTTTACCTCCAGATCTTCCAACCATCAAACTGTCATCATCATCGTCAGTATCAAATCAAAGTGCACAAAATAAGTCAGCTAAGAGTACAACAGATATAAGCAATAATAATAATAACAATAATAATAGTAATAACAACAATGATCACGAAAACGTTGTTGAAGATGGGGATGGAGATGAGACAAGAGCCAACGATACCACTACTACTACTACTACAACTACTAATAACAATTCATCAAATACTCTATTTCAAACATCATATACACCAGGACAAACTATTTTTCCATCACGTTTATTTATTTGTGATCCAGAAGAATCAATATTTAAAGCATTACGATTATTACTTCGATTTCGATTACATCATTTACCGATTATGGATTCAGCATTCAATGGAAGTGGTAATATATTATATGTACTTACACAACGTAAATTATTATCATATATGTTTGAAAAATTGGATAAATTACCTCAACCAAGATTTTTGCAAGTAAGTTAAGATTTTGTTGTGTTTTTTTATTTTTTTAAAAACAAAATATATTTTATTATTAAATTTTGACGTCGGTAACACAGTGGTAGAATGCTCGCCAACCACTCAGGTGGTTCGGGGTTCAATCCCCGGATGACGACTCACTCCCTTATCTCGCTAAGTCAGTAGTAAGACTGGTAAAGAGGGAAGGTTGGGCATTAGGAGGCTAGCAACCCCATCCTGGAAAGACAAATATCACTGCTACTGGGAACGTAAAAGAATAAAATAAATTTTTTTTAAATAAACATTAAATTTATGTTACTTAAGCTGGATATTGTTTGATACGTTTTGTACAAAGTGAATTTCATAGAAGAGAGACGACTAACTGACCGACTGAGTTTCAAAAGAGATCCTTGTATAGAAGTGCGGCAGTTTAAGTTGCTACCCTCCATGAAGCACACAAAGATAGATGGAAGAGGGGGGGAGAAACATTCAAAAGGAATATCATAAGCAGAAATATGGAAAAGAAAACATGTTACATTAAGGAATATGGAAGGTTACAAAGAGTGAATGCCTCTGCGCCAGCCATTGACAATGATTTTAACCCATATCAAGGACACTAATACAGGTAGCCCACGCCTTCCTAAGTAAATGGCTCAAACTCACTGTTGAAGCCCTAAGCCTTTTCCAAACTAATCCATTGTCGGTTGATATTTTCCGTCGAAGAAGGCAATAGGTCGGAATGCTCAACATGTGTTCTAGGCATCTCAGTCGATGTAGCCTTACAATCTGATTGACTGACTTACCCGTTTTACCTAACACTTTACGCGTAATTTCAATATCACTCGCCATATTATACCACAAGAGCAATGACTTGAGTTTGAATGACGGAGACAGTTGATTTGAGGTTGAGTTATATAGTCAATGGATAATAGTGGATTTCAGCTGTGTTGATGGATTAACATTAGATCCAACGCTCATAACGGGATTGAAAATGAAAAGCAAAATCATTCCGTGCTGGTTATCATACACTTCATAGTTTACAGGGCTTAAAATGCTTACCGGTAATCACTTACTGCTGTCATTTAAATTTTTATCAAGCCATAATCATTAGAGCATGAAAAATTGGGTATGAATTGAAATGTATAATCATCTATTATGTCAGCGTTTGTAAAATTTCACTATTTGCGCAGTTATCACTACATATACTGTTTTATATAGGAATAAATGTTGTTATCAAACTATCTAATATTATTATTGCTATTAAAGTAGACAGTTATTGCAAAAGTATAAAAGATGGTTAGATGGTTTTAGGCAGTGAGCAGGAATCCTTGGACTCCCTTATTTTCGTGCTTGTTGTCACACACACACACACACACACACACACACAGGTACCACTGAGCAATGTGTATCTGCAATCTTAAAAGAACTCATGTCTTTTGTGAGATTCGAATCCAGGTTACCCATTGCTGCAGTCACAGAAGTTGACACTGCAGTATTCAGTCTCGCGATCGACCTTCTGTAGGACTGTAATGAATACTTTGATTGGACACCGTCTAACAACAATTCAGAGTACACCTTGATAGCGAGCTGATTAGCATGGTAGCCACATTGAAAAACTTGGTTGATAGAATTCAATCTGCACCAAACAATGGGCTAGATGCATGACATTAGGCGCTACACTGACTGCTCACGATAAAATAAGATTTTTTTTATTCCTGTTCACAATAAATCATTTTGTCAGGTAACAATTTTCTAAACAAATTATAAAACTGAATACCTACTGTTCAGTCTGTTAGAAGATAAAACTAACTCATCATCCAGAAAGACGAGTACTTTATTCATGTTGACTTCAAAAGTCTATTTTACCTTGACATGAATTTATTCACGAAGGCATATATCGTCTATAAGCAGAATAAAATGATTTACAGTTAAACCATCAAACTCAGAGTTTATAATAGTTCCAGATATAGTCAACACACGCTTTTGTGTCATCTGTATTTTATGCTAGTGTTGGTTTGCAAGGATTTGTTTGGTTCCAGAATTCCATCATCAACTGACATCAGTTGGAAGACCATTGAAAAACCTTCATGTAGTACTGGAGAGCTGATTCGTCCTAGTTTTGGACTCTTCATCAGTATTCACCCACAGATATTAAAACTCAGGACCTTCCGGTAACAGGGCTAGAGAGCTCGTAGACCATTAAGCCACTGGGACCCGATCCACTAGTCCATGACTTCCAACTTTCGCCAATTCATGATATGGTGTGACCACTAGCGAATGTCATCGAAAAGTATTTGTCCTTGCACACGATCTACTGTACTCCATTGGTCAGAACTCCCCTCAGTGAGTGTGTACTGAGCCGAAACAGTTGTCAAGTACTTCCAACAGGTTTTCCAATGGTTCTTAATGAAATATATATTTTCATTTTATATCTTTCACTATCTGACATATAACTTTTTCCCTCTCAAAAATGAATAATTTGTTTTGCTCAATAAATAGCATAAATAAAATCAAATATTTATCTATGCATCCCCATAATATATTCACAACAAAAATAATTAGAGTGGACAGTTGTTTTCAACAACAGAATTCTTCTTCAGCCTCTATAATTATAAATCCATTAGTTTTGGCATAAAGTGGAGCCAGTAGATGCAGATTAGAATTATATCAGAAAGTGTATTGTGTGGAATAATAGTCGGTGAGTTAGTCAGCTTTGATGATCGTTTAAATGCACATAAAATGCAAAGTCAATGAGGACATGAGATGAAATGAAGTCGGTTGATTCAGCGATGTTTCATAATCAACAGACAGGCAGAGGTTTCAAGGGGTGATTGAAGTCACTGCAATGCTTCGACAGAGAGAGACAATATGAATACTACGGAGGGATAAACCAACAATTGGGTGTACTAGACGTAAGATCAATTGTGGGAATAACGACAATGGTAATGATTATGAAATGATAACCATGAAGTTGTGTAAACTTAAAAGGACTACTGATGAATGATTATCAAGTGAAATGATAAAGATTGTGTAAATACAATCACAAATTTGGAAACCATTATGCAATCACTTTAACAAATAGAGAAATGGAAGTAATGAGGTTAAGATTGAAATTGTTAATTATCAATGTCTATGAAGGATTTGTTAGCCCTATTGAGGGGTTAGGGCTAAACAAATCAACTTGACATAAATCTTCTGGATACAGAGATCAGGTATTCTTGTATTGATTGCAACTGCTACGAAGTTGAGCTCCTGTAGATAGGATTACCAGGGCCATAGTAGATCACTAAGATCGTCTTCTCTGGTTTTATTGGTTTGCCCATTATCAACCAAGTTGGCTAAGACAGCATTGTTTTTACATTTGATTGCCCCATTTTCCCAACTATATAGGTTGTAGAGCCTGAAGAAGAATTTCCTGAAAGTAGTTGTTCGCTCTAATTATTCTTTTTTCTGAATAAATTTATTTATTTATTTGCTTTTGAGTAGATTTTTATCAATTTTGTAGGGTCTAATTACTGGACTAGACTGAAGCTTAATTATGATTATGTGAGTACATGGTGAACTCTTCATATGACTGACGACAATGGTAACAAGTGGAAATGAATGGACAGTCCAACAACAAACATTTGTCATGTATTTTCAGCGTAGTGTTAATTGATAAGCTAAAAATAGAAAACTGCTTATTTTGGTGTAGTGGTGTTCTCTGAGCTGGATGGATGGTTTACCTGTAAAGCTTCCATTGCCTTACTAGGCAATATCCTCAGTGCATACTTTAATTTTCACAGTGAACTTTTAAATTTCACCACGAGTTTATTAGTCAACTCTCCTGGTAACCTTGAACGTGATTGGTTGCTTTTGTCTGTTTTTTCACCACTTGTATTAGTATTGATTGGTTATTTCTTTGACCTGAAAGTTGACTTTTTGTTCATGTGACTTGCTTTTTATGCACTGGTTAGTCTTATTTATGTCAGTGTGTTTATTGATTGCCAATTGAGCAGAATGCCAGGCTTCAAGAAAGTCTCCGGCATTTCTGGTGTTTCCTCTGCTAAGATTTGAAAATTATCCCAATAGAATTGGTATCTATGGTTGTCTGTATACAATGATATGGGGAAGTGGATGTCGAGTTTTTCGATAGGCCAGTTTATGTTCATGGATGTGAAGACATAGAAGGCATCCACGTCGACCGATGGGTTACAAGAGCCACTTAGTGGATAACTCTTTAGAGTTTGAAATGATAGTTGCTGCGTCTGAATTTCAGTAGGAACTCACATAGGTTCTGCAAGTATATCTCACTGACGAGTCCCAAACAGAACGAAATGAGTGTCCTGGATTTCGCTGCTAGTCAGTCAGCTACCACTCACCAAATAACATCATGTTAATCCTGAGACATCACTAAAGCATTCTTACTAGGATCCAACATATCAACAAAGACTGAGCATTACAGTCCAGTATAATAATCGGTCAATAGGATACATATGTATATATGTAATTAATTTTGTTTCTTTAAGTTCTGAGTGAAATATTTTGCTTCAAACTTGAGCTTTGAAGTTTCACTGGTAGTAGTATAGCTAGCCTCACGCTCAACCTTCCCTCTTTAACGGACTTACTACTGGTTAAGTGAGATTAATGGGTCTGTCTGTCGGGTGTCGAACCCCGGACCACGTGAGGTGTGATTAGGGAGTATTCGACCATTAAACCGCTGACACATCATATTTATATACATACAGTAAAATATGTTTAATTCATCTGTTCTTTCTTATTCTTTTTTTTTTTTTAATTTTCATTTCATTCAATAGTCCAGTCTAATAGATCTTAATATTGGTACACATGGACCTGTGTTAATGATTACACCATCGACCCGATTGGCTGATGCTGTATTACTATTTCGTGATAATTATATCACTACACTGCCAGTTGTTGATTCAATTACAAATCGTCGATTAATTAATATCTTCTCGAAATTTGATGTATTCGTAAGTTTATTGTCTTTTTATTGTTTTTTTCAAAATTACTTTTAGTATTACTCAACTAGGCATGTGTTTATGCGTGAAAGTGTATTTTTTCATTATCAGGCCAGCATAGTTTAACTTCATTCCCTTTTAGACGGTGTAAATGTACCTATATATCCATTGAGTCATGAAGAAAATAAAAGATTATTCAGTGAGGAAAGTTTTCTTTATCGATGAAATCATCTTCAGAGGCTATACTATTCCTTTGTCTCACGCCTCTTTTTACTGTCTATATTATGCATTTCTCCTAATTTCTTCCCTTTCCTTTGTGTGCTACATGGAGTGTGGCGACTTGAACTGCCGCACATCAGTGCAAAGTTCTATGTCGAAAACAGACAGACAGACAGACCAAAAATGTATAGTACTCCACCATTCAGTTATTTGGAGGTGGATGACGCAACTGATATAATTACTCAGTAGTGGCTTCAAAAGTAAAACTCAAAGTCATCAATTACATAATACTCAATGGCACAAAGGAAGAAAGCGTTAGAAATTTGTTAAGATTAAAATTATTATTTAGTGAGAAGAAAGATGCTAGTTGAGTGTCTATTTAACTAGTGTGAAGACGCCGAGAAAATGTACAAAAGGAACATGTGAGAGTAATAATAGTGAATTAATTATTAAATTAAAATCAAAGTAATCATTAAAAATAAAAGAATTACAGGGAACGACTAATGAAGAAGTTAAGACCATGGTAGAATAAGAGACTGGACTTGTACTGACGAATTGCCAACGCCTCATCCATACACAAATGCCGAAACCGAACGCCTTTTATACCATTTGATCTCACCTTGTAGACAGTTTTGAAAGACGACTCTGGTGGAGCTGCGTGGCTTGAGTTCTCCAAGTACTCGAATATTGAGCTAGTAACTCTCTTGCATTGTCTGTCCTTTTGCTAACAATGCGGGATAATGTTCAGAGATGCGTTCGGAAAGTGTGTAGTTTGTGCGGCCAATATAACAAGCTCCACACGAGCAGGTGAATTTCTAAACAGATATTGAAGTGGCCCAAAGCGGGAGTTTATCCTTCACATATCCATTATTCATTTGTCGTCTGTAAAATTTGATCCGTAGCTCAGGTGAAAAGAAGGCTTTTCTCAGTGACCTGCATTAGCGGTTCTTCAGAGTCTCAACCTTATCAAATTTTTAACTCCCTCTTCCTTTGTACTATTGAGCATTACGTAATTTGCGACTTTTATTTTTATTTTTGAAGCCATTTCTGAGTAATTAAATCAATTGTGTTACACAGGCTGCCTATCACTCACTAATGGAAAGTGATACATGTTTGGTCAATATAAATATTTTTACGAGTTGATCATGGATTGATATCCGTTAGTGAACCATTGAAAACCAGTATTGGAGTACTGAACAGTTGCTGTTTGATCCTAGTTTGGGAATCATCGGCAGTACGCACCCACTGGTTTTCAATGGTTCGCTAACTGATATCAATCCGTGATCAACTCGTAAAAACATAACTAACCCTTACAAACCAAACTATAGAAAATTAATCTAATGCTCGCTGGTGACTTGCTACAGGATGGAGTTTCCTGGAGTTCTAGTGGGAAGTCGTAACCAGTGAGGTCCAATTAGATGTCACGTGTGTGGATGGATGTCCCACCAACGACAATGGTTGGGGTCGCGCTAAATCACGGATTGGTAGAAGTTAAAATTCATGGGCCATTGGATCGGGTCCCAGTGGCTTAATGGTGTACGAGCTTGACTTGTAACCGGAAGGTCCTGGGTTCGAACCCTGGCTGTGGGTGTGTGCTGACGATGATTCCCAAACTAGGATGAAACAGTTTCCAGTAATCTTGGCCGGTTTTCAATGGTTCTCTAACTGAAATCACTCCGTGATCAACTCATAAAAACATAACTAACCCTTACAAACCAAACTATAGAAAACAATATAAATATGACTGTACAGCCTCTGAAGGTGATTTCGTCGATAGAGAAAATTTTCTTCGCATATATGTATATATGCTTCTTTACGCAACCCCCTAGTTGTGTATCTACATTATTCTTTTGAAGTGTTTATATCTCTCTTGCGTTCTCCTCTTCTCCCTTTTCGTAACATTGACGTAATCCTGTGGAATGTGATAATTTTCCAGACAATTGACTTACTGTTTCACACTGTGTAGTCTGTTTTGTTTTTTATTATGATGGATGGGAAAACAGACACAACTTCCTGTGTAGCGTAATGCTGACAAGTACGATTTATATAATAATAATAATAATAATAATTGTATAGTCGACAATATTTGAAGTGTTTCTGTTCTAAATGTAGAGAAGAAAGTGTTTTCAACAATCGTAAATAGTTAAAAACAGAAAAAACAAAAGAAATTGTAGACAAATTTCCTAGTAAAAGCAATAACAAAAATCTCCAAGGTGCATTAGTTAATGCTGTTTGAATGTGTTTATATAAGGCTTAGGTTTACTTCTGTTATGCGTCTTTTTAGTGGATTGAAGTAAAACATATGTTGTTGATCACTTTTACTCTGCTCTGAGTTTAAATACTCTATTGGTGCATATTCGTGACTTTTTCCAAAAGAATTGGATACAAGACCATTCGATTTTGAGGTTGGTTCGGTAAATGAACCTACTTCAACCATCAACTGACATTCGATAAGCCTATAAATAAATAAATAACATTATCAAATTTTGGTTTGCTGGGATTCGATTGGTTACAGGTTTGATTACAGGCGGTACTGGACAGCTGTTTCAACCTGGTTCACGACTCTTCACTATTAAGGTTCCAATCAGTTAGTCAATGTCACAGACGAGTGGTGCACTTGTCTAACAACTACTTGATGGTGTTTTGTGCGCAACACTGTTTATTGAGACTTTGGATGAATACTGTCGACAAGTGCCATTTTAAGGCGAAGCAATCTGTTCACTACCTACCACTACCCTTTCGTTCTGTATTTACTTACTTCTAGCTGATATCTATTGTATAACGAAATCTGCCTTAATATTTTATGATGTACATCTAACTGACTGCTAATAACTACCCAAATCACTTTGAGCCTGAAATTGAAAAGATACCCAGTAGTAGTTATCAGGGTTAAATTGAAAATCTTTCTTTTTTAGTTTTCTTCAGGTTATGCAACCTCTGTTTCAATGAATTAATAACATATAATTAGTAATATATTCTTTATAATTACAAGTTTAATCCCTAGCTGATATCACTTAGACAACCGATTGAAAACTAGGAAGTACTGGACAACTCGTGAATTGGAAGAAGTTAGACTTAGATTCCAACTCATAACTTGAAGGTTCTGGTTTCGATCCCAAACAGTTCAGTGATGGTTGCGTACTTGCTGAGCAGTTCAATTAATTAGGATGTAAAAACTCTTCATTACACCCTGTATTCTAGTTGTTTTTCAAGTGATTTCTAGCATGTGATATGACTTGTAATTAATTAAACTTCCTCCTACATTCCAATACTTGAATATTTTATGCTTATGTACACTTTTCAATTCACCGAAATTCCGATTAATAAACTGAATTCTTTACCGAGTACTGAAGTATGTTCAAATAAACAATTTTCTTCTAGCTTAAAATATGTTTTGGAAAAACAAAATACTAAGAATTCGTCTAGGAAAGGACACCGAAAGAAAAATGTTTTCAGGTCATGCATATTTCATCTCTTCTTAAATTAAAAGAAACAATTTCGAATCAGAAGATCATGATTACCCATCCTTATTTATTATAAGTATAAGAAATAATACTTTGTCAATTTTTTTGGTGTCCATGATAATAAGAAATACTGAGACGTTTCTGTATGCACTGTGCAGATATATTAGTCAGTTAGGGGACTATTGAAAAACAGTCGGGAACACTAGACACATGTTTCATCCCCAATCGGGACTCTTCAGGGGCACACGCTCAATACCTCACCTCTAGGGATTGAACCCTTGATCTTGAGGTTATGAGGCCCAACCCGTTGACAATTTAAGCATTGTAACAGAATTCAATGACTAACTAAGCAATTCTAACTTTTGTCGATTCACGGTACTGTGGCGTGTTCTACTAATAATCAAAAGTATATAATGAGACGTTCATCGGCATGAAAACATCAAATAGCAGGGAGATAGATTTGATGTCAGAGAAAGCAAATGATACAGCGTTTCAGAGAGATACATGGGAGAAATAAAACGAACACAAAGAAGGAACACACAATATGAAGGAAGGCGAGAAGTAGCACAACACGGAAGATCTGTACAAATGTTGATTTGAAGATAAGATGTACATAATTTGGTTATAGAGAGATACGAAATTTCAAATAAACATTCCTTTACCAAATCTCTCGTCTTCTATTGTTACAGTGCTAGTAATAACCGATGTCATCGACAAGTATCTATCCTCACACTCCCTACTCGATGAATCCTATTAGTCACGATTGTTTACTAGGACTCTAGATGACTTCAACCTATAGTCAGTCAGTAATTAAGCATTAGATTATTTTTCACATGTCGTGAATTGGCAGAAGTTAGAATTCATGGGCCATTGGATCGGATCCCAGTGGCCTAATGGTATACGAGCTCGCTTGCCTTGTAACCAGAAGGTCCTAAGTTCGAACCCTGGTTGGTGCGTACTGATGAAGAGTCCCAAACTAGGACGAAGCAGCTGTCCAGTACTCCAAGCTGGTTTTCAATGGTTCTCTAACCAATGTCAGCTCATAAAGAAATCTTGTAACCAATCAACCAAATCCCTACAAATCAATACTTGAATTGTTGGTGTGTAGAGCAGTCGTATATTTAATCGAATATTAACTTCATAGTGATATAATAAAGTTTATATCCCAATGTGTTCACAACATACTGGTTTCTTTTTATCTTTAAGATTATATTGACCACATTTTGAGCTCTTTAAGGGTTGATATACGAATCCTTGTACGAAAATTGATTGCTTCTAAGTAGTAATATCCGTTAGAGAATAAAATTTGTTGGTCATACTGTAACGGTAGAAGACATGAGACTTGGTAAAGGAATGTTTGTTTTAACAATTCGGTATCTCTATATAGCCAAATAATGTACATCTTATCTTCAACGCACCATTTGCACAGATCTTCCGTGTTGTGCTACTTCTTGCCTTCCTTCATATTGTGTGATCCCTCTTTGTGTTCCTTTCAAGTCTCCCATGTATCTCCGCAACGCTATATCATTTGCCTTCTCTGACATCAAATGTATCTCCCTGTTATTTGATATTTTTCATGCAGATTGACGTCTCTTAATATACTACTATTAAATCTTATCAGTAGCACACGCCCCAATACCATCTTTTTAAGCAACATATCACGTTTTATTATTCAATGCTTCCCCCTTTACTTTTATTACATATATATAACCTAAATTTCATGCGTATACCACTACTTAAGAGGAGAGGTATATAACATGGTAATACTTACTGCTACTATTGCTATTGCTGTTATGGCCAAATCCTGAAAAACCGACTTAGTTCAATAAAAGTAATTAGTTTGTTATCAAAGGAACAATATATTGTCTCTGATTGACATAATAATGAAGGAAGCAATTGTTACTAACCTTAAGCAATGTAGGTAGGTGTGTTTAGATGGAGATATGTATATACTAATGCTAGATGATTTCAACTAAAAGTGTACAGTTGACCTACTTGATTTTTAGAGAATTTTTGATCTATTTCAGTTTACTAATCAGCTGATGCGTGTTATTTTATCTTATTTTTTAAAACCATACTTATCACATATTCTCTTTTTTATTCCTTCTGCCTTCTGAGTGAAACGTAGGACTTCAGGCTTATTTTTTAGAGGTTCAGTAGTGACGATGTAGTGTTTTTTTCTGGTGGAGTGGAGTTATTATAGCCTCACGGGTAATCTCTCCCTCCCTTTATCAGGCTTATCAGCAGTTAGTCGACTGACTGGGTGGGAATCGAACTTGGATTTCCTTGAGTGTAGTTGGCGAATATTCTTACCACTGAACCACCGAATGATTTCTTTTTCCTGATAATGAGTTAAATACTCGTCATTCACTGAAAAAATACTATATTCCGAACAGTGTTCATATAATATACAGAGTTTTCAACGGAATTTATTGCATAATAGTTTATTTTTCTGTCAAAAATGTTCAAGTGAAACAGTAGTTGATAGTAAATAGCATGACACATTACTGTCTAACTTGAACCGAAAATCGATTCCTTAGGATATTTCTTCTTTGCCCCTCTCCTTCGAGAAATACACGACATTTTCAAAATAAGAAGAAAATTCTCATTTAGACATTTAGAAAACAAAAGGATTGAGCAAAGATATATTTACTTTTCAATTAGATCCTCATCTCTGACTCTTTTTTTTCTTTTACGTTCCCCAGTGAAACATAGGGCTTCAAGCTAGGGGCTTGAAGTTTCTGTAGCAGTGCTTATTTTACAGGATGGGGTTGCTAGCCTCATGCCCAACCTTTCCTCTTCAGCAGTATTATTTCTGGCTTAGCGAGGTAAAGGATCGCGTTGGCTGAGGATCGAAACCCGGATCATGTGCATGGTCGGCGAGCGTCCTGACCGCTATGCCACCGACGCACATCTCTGACTCTACTCTAATAAATATTATAGCATTTTTATTACAATGCGCAACAATTTACCTATTAAGTGGGGATATGTTTGTTAATAACAATCTGCATCAAGAGATCAAATGGTGGAGTGATAATTAACGAAGAAAATTAACATACACAATTAAAAAAGTAAAAATGGTTGCAACACGTGGATTGCATAATTTGTAAAAATGAAGAGTTATAAAGGGATAAACGAGTGCTCAATTTGATTACGTAACAGGATTATTAAAGCAAAATAAGACGATTTGGACAATGATAAAGTTGTCAGAAAAATAATAAAATAGTTTGGACAATTATAATTTTTAAAAGGTTTAGGATGGAGGTGTGGGTGAAGTAGTTCGGTGTATACATTCATGTATTAAAAATTCTATATGCACATTAGGTGTGTTGGTGGCACAGCGGTAAGATACTCGCCAACCACGCATGTGGTTTGGGGTTCGATCCTTGGCCAACGCACTAATTTACTTCGCTATCCAGTAATAAGACTGGTAAAGAGGGAAAGTTGCGCATGAGGATAGCGACCCCACCACTACTACCGAAACATCAATCCTCTAGCTTCAAGCCCTATGCTCCACTGAGAACGTAAAGGAACATATATATATATATATATATATATGCATATATATACATATTAGAGCAAAGCCAGAGATGAAGATCTATTTGCAAAGTAAATATTCTTTCCAACGACATTTTGTTGAAAACCAATTTAAAAAAAGATGCGAGAGTACTTTTTGAGACTCAAGGACATAATAACAGCCGACTAAGTTGAGACTGTAGGTAGTTAGTGAAGGAATTTCGTCTTTGTTTGATTTTCTCTAAAATGTAGTGTTTAACTTTGTGATTTTACCGCCATGCATCGGTTATTCAATACTCGCCAGCCTTCATCCCCCACCGCGGTGGTCCAAGCTTATTTCCTGACCGACACACTTAAATTTTGTCTAGTAAACCCATAAAATATTTAAGGTTGGGCCTGAGGCTAGCAACCCCACCTCATAAAATAAAATAACACCACCACCACTACTAAAATTCCAAAGCATGGAGCTTTATATTCCACTTGGAAGGCAAAAGGAATGAAAAATAGCCAGCATACTGCCTAACTTAATCAATATTCTTTGTTTAGTTTTGGTAGGGACACTTCAGTTCTACTTATCATTATCCAAATTCAGAAAGGAAGACATTTATGTGGTCGTCTCCGTCTCTCTCTCTCTTTCTCTCTTATTAACCTCTAATCCACCTCTAATAAAACAGTAACTAGAAAAAGAGGAGAAACAATACATCACTATACACCAATTCTTAACTATACAACGTATATATGCCATAGACTGATATTAATTTTACCTGAGGCAGGATTATCTAGGCGGATGAATTCTAACATGATTGTCTGTTGTTTTGATATGGTTGATTTCAGAACTGTGACCAGCTGTAGGACTAGATTAACTGCTTGAAGTGATTACTTTACGTCAACCGATATAACCGTCTGATCGTAAATATGTTGACTGAAATCTCTTTTGATATCACTTTAGTGGCCCAGGTAGCCCTAGGGGATAATGATAAACAATGCATCGGTGGTTAAGCGGTAGAATGCTCATCAACTACGCACAAGATCCCGAGTTCGATTCCCCGTCGACCCACTCATAAACCTCTCCTAGCTCTTAGTTAACCCGGAAAAGAGGCGAGGTTAAGTATGTGGTTATTACGTGTTTACCACGTGAAAACAACACTACTGCTAGTGAAACTTTCAGACTCAATCTTGAAGCCATGTGTTCCAGTCGGAAGGCATTAAAGTGTATTACAGATAGAGAAGCAGTTTGATTTCATGTCAAATTAGCGCTTATTCACCAGATTTCACACCACAATAACAGATTTTGATCAACTTACTTCAGACCAAACAGTCACATTGGTTTTACATTTATCTCTACAATTATAAAGTAGAAATTCTTCGTACTTTGTGCACACACATGATTGAAAAAAGCCGTTGAGGTATTACTTTCACATTCTTCTTATCATTTTCGCGTGCTATTTCATTATTGTTTTTGCTCCTACATTATTTTATGAGGGTAAAAGAGACAATGATTGTGATGTTTTAAAACAAAACAATAATAGAAACAGGAGAGGTGAACAGATTTATTTTTCAAGAAAAAGTAAACAAATAATCCTTAACATGAAATGAAAAGAATGTTTTTTTGAAAGCAAAATTCTATACCATTTTTTTGTTAACTTCATGGAGGTGAATTTAACTGCCAAGATACCATGCATAAATATCTGATTGAAATCCTGAGGAAGGTTGTATCGCATTAAAAGTCATCAATGATAAGAGCTTTGTTTTCTTCGTTTGCTTATTAGTGCATCAAATATACTCTTTAAAGAAAACTGATGTGCAACACTGAATGATGCATTATTATAATACTATTATTCCCTTGGGTTTCTAGTGGAACACGAGGCTTACTCCAAGATTCCCAATAAGCTTTCAGTTCCTCCTCACAAGATCTCATCTATGTCACTTTCGGACACACGCCGAACTCACTGTCTCTTATTAGGGTTCCACTCTAGGGTTGTCTCGCAATGTCACCCAGTAGTCTCCTCGGCGTGGGTTCAGTCCATCTCCATTTTCTTTGACATATCTGTTGGGCAATAGGCTATTTGGTTAGTTCGTTGTACTGCAGAGTTCTATGTGACAAATCCTTTATGGCCATCTGATATTCAGTATGAAGTGAAGACAACTGTTGTTAAAGATCTGCAGTAGGCTGTTGGAAATGCTTTCAGTGATGCTCCAAGTCTTTGACTCATATAAAAGAACCGACTTGACATAAGTGTTGAAAATTCATATTTTGTTTCTTATGCTAAGTGCAGAAGATTTCCTTCCACAGAGTAGTGAAGGTCTGTCCGACTTTGACATCCTCATCTGTGTCGCCAATAGATGAAACGATGCGGCCTGGGTAATTGAAAAAAGTGACTTCCTTCATATGCATATCTGGAATCGTATACCTACTACCACTTCGGTGATTGTCTTTAAACGTTGTCCAATGTTATATTGTTGAGTTTATAGCAATACCCAACCTTGTATGAAATATAATACTAGTTAAAATAAGTGAATGGGATTCTTTTTTTCAAGACTGCATGGCTTTTGGGTCATCTAACCTCTTGTTATTGAAAGATAAAAAATCAATTTTTTTTATCCTGTTCTTTATTTTTTTATTTTCCCTTTTGTCTTCTCACAGACACTTATATTGAATGGTGCTTATAAAAATCCTGATCTGACTATTAAAGAGGTACTTGAAATATGCAAGGTAAGTTCGCAAAATATTCAGAGAATAACATTTTATGTCTTATCACTGAATATGACATTTAATTTTTTCTCATCTCTTAAAGTACAATTTTAGTAATATTAACAGTTTTCAGGGTTTAAAAAGAAAAGGGAATGAAAGTCAACAGTTTTGTGATTGGTTGGAGGATTTCATCAGGAGTTGACATAAGTTAAAGAACCATTGGAAAACCTGCAGGGAGTACTTGACAGCCAACTGTTTCTTCCTAGTCTGGGACTCTTCAGAAGTTCGCACCCACCATAGGAGTTAGAACCAAGGACCTTCTGTTTACAAGACGAGCTTGTAGACGACTAAGCCACCAGGACCCGATCTAATCGCCAATGAATTTTAACTTCTGCTAATTCATGAAATAGCCTTCATTGATGAGTTACTGCTTCACCTTCAACCTGCGGTACCCTATTGGTCACGGCTTCCCCCCTAGAACCCCCGGTTAACTACCTGCATAGGGCCAGTCTCTAGTGAGCATCATTTGATAAGTCAATCAGTTAAGATTTTATTGATAATGGGTAAATAATATTAAAACAAAACAAGGGAAAAAAAAGGTTAACATGATGATATGAACATTCTATCATTTAGAAAAATAGCCAAAATGTTTAGCTTAGGTGGATGATTTTGTTGTGATTATTCTCACTCGAAGATGAGTGGTTTGATTGCAAAGCTTTCATTGTCCAGATCTTCAGGACGGACTTCAATATGCCTACGTCATCAAATTCTACAAGAGAGACATTGTTATGAAGGAGTTTTACTGGGTTGTGAGTTCGCCCAACTTGACTAGGATGAGCTTCCAAAATCATTATTTATTATTATTGTTCCCTTGGGTTCCTAGTGGAACATAGGGCTTCAACTGCACGTCTCCACTTGCTTCTGTCTTGTGCTGTACTTTTCACTTGCGTCCATGTTATTCCATACTGTTTCATCTCCTCCTCACACGATCTCCTCCACGTCACCCTTGGACGTCCCACTCGCCGCTTCCCTTTCGGGTTCCACTCGAGGGCTTGACGCGCGATGTCACTCAACGGCCTCCTCAGCGAGTGTCCAATCCATCTCCACTTCCTCCTGCATATTTGTTGGGCGATTGGTTCTTGTTTCGTTTGTTCCCATAGCTTCTTGTTTGTGATTCTTTCTGGCCATCTTATCTTCAGTATGGAGCGAAGACAGTTGTTGATAAAGGTCTGCAACAGGCTGTTGGAAATATTCTTGGTGACCCGCCAAGTTTCTGATCCGTAAAGCAAAATTGACTTCACGTTTGTATTGAAAATCCGAATTTTGTTGTTGATGTTGTGGAGTGACGAAGATTTCCAGATTGGTTTCAGGTTGATGAATGTGTTTCTCGCCTTCCCGATTCTCGATTTGACATCCTCGTCCGTTCCTCCTGTGGTTGAGACAATGCTCCCAAGATAAGTGAAAGAAGTAACCTCTTTCAAATCCCTCCCGTTGATGGTGATTGACGGTGGATGTTGCTGCTGCTGTTGTTGTTGGTTGGTTATTTTCATGACCTCCGTCTTGTCTATGTTCACCTGGAGTCCTGTCTTTACTGCTTCTTCAACCAGTTTGTCGGTTTTTGCTTGTAAGTCTTCGATTTTGTGTGACATCAGACATAGATCATCCGCGAAATCCAGGTCTTCTAGGTTCTTCACGTCGGTCACGACAGGATATCCCTGTCTTCTGGTTTCCCACTGTCTGACGCATAATCCAGTCCACCACAATTAGGAATATCATTGGTGATAATAAGCACCCTTGTCTGACTCCTGTGTTTACTCCAAACGCTTCGCTGAGTTTTCCGTTGTGGATCACTTGACATGTGCCGTTGTCGTACAGTTGTTGAATAAGGTTGATGAATATTTGGGGTACGCCGTAGTACTTGAGTAGTTTCCAAATTACTTCGCGGTCAACGCTGTCGAAGGCCTTCTCAAAGTCTATGAAGTTGAGGTAGAGATTTGATTGCCATTCCATGCTTTGTTCGATGATAATGCGTAGAGTTGCAATTTGGTCAGAACATGATTTGCCTTTCCTGAATCCAGCTTGTTCTGGTCGGAGTTCTGTATCCAGCGCGTCCTTGATTCTCTCCAGGATGATGCGACTCAGGATTTTACTTGGCGTCGACAGGAGCATGATTCCTCGCCAGTTCTTGCAGAGTCCCAGGTCGCCCTTCTTTGGTAGTTTCACCAGGTAACCTTTCCTCCAGTCAGTAGGCACCTTTCCCTCTTTCCAGATCGTTTGCAATAGTGGAGTCAGCATATCTGCCGTCGTTTCTGGGTCCGCTTTCAGTGCTTCCGGGGGTATTCCATCTGGTCCAGCTGCTTTTCCAGCTTTCAGAAGCTTGATTGCATTCATGACTTCAGTTTTCGTTGGAGGATTGGTGTCAACTTGCAGTTGTGTACGTGCTGTTGTTGGTATTACTGGACGGGTTGTAGGTGGTGGTCGATTCAAGAGTCCTTTGAAGTGGTCCGCCCAATGTTTAATCTGTCTTTCTTCTTTGGTAATTGGGTTCCCTTGGCTGTCTTTTATAGGTTTCACTTGTGTTGATCTCTTCCCGGATAGAGACTTGGTTATCTGATATAGTGTCCTCAGGTCCCTTTTGCCTGCTGCCTTCTCAGCTTCAGTAGCCAGGTTGTCGTGGAATTGTCTTTTGTCCTTCCTGGCACTCTTCTTCACTTCTTTGTCCAGTGCTGTGTAAGTTGAGTTCAGCGTCTCTTTCTCTTGTCCATCTTTGCATTGAATCATTTTTTCTTTCACCTTTCTCCTCTCCTCTATTAGTTTCCAAGTGTCCGTTGAGAGCCATTCCTTGTCTTGTTTCTTCTTTCTTCCTAAAACCGTTGAGCACGTTTCGTTGAAAATTACCTTCAGAGAGTTCCAATGGTCTTCGATGGATGATTCCTCAGTGGTACCACGTAGTGTTTCCTGCTTCGCTCTGACAGTTGCAGTGAAAATGTCCTGTGTGATTGTGTCCTTCAGTTTGTGAGTGTTGAACTTGCATTGTGGCCTATCCCCAGCTATCCTCGAGGCTTTCAGCTTCACCTTGAAAGTCCCTTGTACTAGATAGTGGTCTGAACCCACATCTGCTCCTCTCCTCCATCTTGTGTCCAGTAGGCTTCCAAAATAAGATACTATAACCAAGTGATCGACTGAAATTATCCCCTACACTGAGACAGACACTGAAGTTAGACTGATAAAAATGACTGCCTTTATCAGAAAATGTATATTTCTAAACCATCAGAAATTAACACCATAAATAAAACAAATCTAATTAGTTGTGCATGATACCGAAACCCCTCAGAAAATGAAGCCACAAATAAACGAATTTAAGCTGTTCATTAAAGTTATCATGTTAATGTATATGCATAAATCACGACTTCATGGCTTAGAAAAAAGTTTGTTCGTCCTAACACAGACAATTATATCATTCATGGAGAATTCAGATAAGTTTACTTCATACTGAAGTTTAAGCTGAAGATGTCTAGAAAAAACAATAAAACCTTCTTATTTAAACCATCTAGTACAGGAAATAGTCATTCTTCAGTTGTTTTGAAGTTTAGATTGAATAAGGGATTTTGGAAAATCTGTGGGAGATGAACAGGCGAAAAAGTGTGTGAATTTATTAGATGCTACAGTGTGTTGCTGTCAAGTGAAGGTTAGAATAAGGTGCTATTCTAGCTCGAGCATGTATTTAAGTCCACCAACTTTACAACTCAACTATGCCGGACCAACGAATCACGGGTCGTCCAGATTTAAATTCCGGTTGACGCACTTCTAATCCTCATGTAGCTGGTATTAAGACGGTAGAAAAGGGAAAGTTGAGCGTGAGACTAACTAACTGACCCAATGAAAATAGTGTACTTTCTCTTTATTGAAAACTTGAAGCTTGAGTTTATTGGTTGAATGGTTCTAGTTTAATTCAACATTCAAGGAAATATGAATAATACCGAGTCATTCGGTGATCATTATTACTAATAGACTCTTTGTCTTCACTGATGGACGACATTCATAGCTTGAATCTTCTAATAGAATTCAAACAAGGAAACCAAAATTTATTGAACAAATAGTTATTGGTTTACAATTAGAGCATTTAGTACATCTAACTAATGAAGTCTAAGCCATCATGAAATACAATTGAATTTTTAAAAAACAACAATTATATCAGTTTTCATGATACAGAATACCCATACTATCAGCGGTGGGGGGTCTAAAGACAATCGGCAGGGGGCCTTCCACCCAGGTTTCATCCTTGTTAACACTCGTTAGCAATGTGTATCTGCAATCTTAAAAGAAGCGGCGTCTCCTCTGAGATTCCAACTCACACCACCCAACAATGAAGTCAGAGAGATGTTACCGCTGAACTGTTTTGGTCCACGGTTAACCTTCAATAGGACTGTGATGGATATACGCTGATTGATCAGTAGAGAGTAGTAATCAATGTCATGCATTTGGTGCTAACTGTTTGTTATCAGTCAGTACAGTAGATACCTATTCACTAGACTACATCAAAACCTTAAAATATATTTACTAATTCCGTGTATTTGTTTTATCTTAATAAATAGTAATTAAAAAGCATGTTATCTTTACTTTCAAATTATATGTTTAGGGAAATATCCAATCTACTGTTGGCTCACAAAGTAAACCACCGGTTGAAGTGTGTCTTGTATCAAACAATTTACTTTATGTTATGGAGAAATTGGTGAAAACTGGAGTAAGTCATTAATTTTAACAGTGAATTTTCTTTCTGTATTGGATGATAACTGAAGATAACATGAGAATCTAGGTTACCAAAGGATTCTCACTGGGCTGAGATTCTAAATTACAATGATTTGGTTAAGAGTTGGGTCTCACAACTGAGTTGGTAGACTGCGGAACTAGTTTTCCAAAGATTGCTGATTAGAATTCCTCCAATTAATAACTACCCCTTGAGTTCGTTGAGTGAAACACACGGCTTCAGCAGTACACCATCACTTCCCTCTGCTCTTCATAGTTCTTTTTTAGCTGGTAATATTTTGGCTGCATTAGAGGGTCTGTTTGGTGTGTGATATCACTCAACTATCTCCTAAGTGTATGTCCAATCCATCTCCATTTACCTGTGTATTTTTGTCGGCTAAAGGAGATTCTTGGCTGGTTCGCTGTGCAACAAAGTTTCTTGTTGCTTATTCCTCCCAGCTGGCCATCTGATCCTCAGCATGGAGAGATGGTAGATATTGGTGGAAGTGTGCAGTTAGGTGTTGAAAATGCTCTTGGTGACCCGCTCGCTAAGTCTATGAATTACATAGAATCACTGACTTGACGTTGGTGTTGAACATTTGATTCTTCTTGTTTCTAATAGTAAGTGCTGTTGAATTCCACAATGATTTTAGGGTAATAAATGTCTGTCTCGCTTTCCTTTCCGAGGTACACGTGAAAGATACTGAGTGACTTTCGAAATATACTGGATATACTTGTACAATGAGATGGCGTGATTTCTCTGGGCAAACTATTCAGTTAGATTTCTAGGCGATAAATTCTCAACGAATTGAAATGAACTGGCCTACTGACTAACTTTTTGTTGATAATTTCAATAGTAATCATAATTTCTAAATAGGCTGAGATACTCTTAGTGAATTCGATTCCTGGCTAGTAACAGATATTTATAATCACCTTATCTGCCCGGTTAGGTAGATCTTCACCTGTCAATCATAATACTACTGAATTTAGGAGGAGGTGATCGGATTTCTAATTGATATTTAGACAGTCTTGAGTAGTTTTCACTTAGCAGATTGTTATTGACGCAATGCGTGATAGATGATTGAAGGTGAAGAGAGAGTCTGGGTAACATAAAAACTCGAACCAGTGGCTTCCTCGATTTACCAGTCCAGTGTTCTAGCAAGTGTTAGTATACAGATATTCGGTCGATTTCTAGATTGGTTGCGAAATGAATTCATTTAGAGAACTACTGGAAACCAGCTGGGAGTACTAGACATTGGTTTCGGCCTTGTTTGAGACCCTTCATCAGTATGCACACATGATACCACCTTCCGGTTACAGAGAGAGACCGTATATTCCATTCAACCACTGAGACGAAATTCCATGACTAACCCATCAATTGTAACTAAACAAGATTTTGAGCGAACAATTGTTTTCGATAACTTCTTCTTCAGGCTCTACAGTTATAAATCCATGAATAATAGAGTACACATAGCCAATAAAGGCAAATGAAAATAATATCAGAAACTGTATTGGGGTGCATGTGTAAGTTGAGATGATAGTCCATTAGTTAACATAATCAATCAAATGTGTATAGGGTGTATTGTCAGAAAAATGTGATGAAGTGTGAATTAACAATTGGGTGATATAGTGCTGTTTTATAGTCAACAGAATACAAGTGTCATTAGGGTGAGAGAAATGCGATAGCCACAAAATACATACAAATACACATTCACAAAGGGGACACTGAATGTGTGGACTGAACGATAATGTCTAATGATAAAATAAAGAGGCTAAATTGTAAATTGTAATAAGCTGTTACAGAGTTGGTAGGCTTAGTGTAAAATCACAAAGGTTGACAAAATTAAGGGTAACAATGAGGTGAAATAAACTGGGTGGAGAAATGGATAATAAAGACATGATATCACAGAATGATAATAATTGTAATAATAATACGGAAAATTATGACCCTGGTGACCTTATAGTGGGCCAGGGTAGACAGAGAGAGTGAATAAGTTTTCTCTGTACACATAAGTCTGGTCTTTCTCTATTAATCTCAAAAGCCTCAGCTATGGCTAGGAGGCGTAATCGTGTGCCTTTGGGGAGATTGTTTGGTACTCGATACACAACTGTAAATGAATCTTCTACTTTGATCCTGTGTTCGCTATCTACTAGATAAACCAGAATTGCACTATTTAATGATTTGGTCGCTCTTTTCCCAACCCAGACCGGAATATGTTCACGAGTGCGTAAAGATAAATTCCTTTGGGTACGACCTACATAACTAGCTCCACAGGAGCAGTTGAATTTATATACACACATTGATATCGTCATTTTGGGTAATCTATCTTTAATGCACAGTGTCAATTGTAACTAATGCTGATAACTTCACGAGATATTGCGCTACAGCCAGCTAATTTCATCGGTAACCACCTAACTTCACACCCAGCCGATCACCACTTCTCATAAGAAGTTTAGGCTACTTCATCTTGTAGTCAGTCCCTACCGTGCACTAAGTTAATTTTCCAATATCAGTTTGCAGGTATTTGGATAATTTTAATTTTGATAATGAATTCATATCAGTTAAGGAAACATTGAAAGCCAGTTGGGAGAACTGGACAGCTGTTTCGTCCCAGTGTTTGGGACTCTTCATCAATCAGCCCACACCCACGAGGGGATATTATCATTCAATCAGCTGAAATAAACGATCACCCTGAATATGCTGACTAGATCTACCTCAAATCGTTTCACCATTAAAATGCTTATTAGTTTATTAATTCATTCATAAGAGAAATGTTGTATATTATATATACATATATATATATAAAGAAAAATCCAGATCAGAACTTTAGATTCCAAGTAAATAAAAATATACTTTCACGCGTATAATGACTAGTGGAATGTGAATATTGACCATTCTGATGACATCAAAAGTTGTTTCTTTATTTTCCTAATTAATACTGAAATGAAAATCTTAGCTTTATTCATATGCTACTTATTATTATCATTATTACTATTCTATTGAATATATTCAAAAACCATGAAACCTAAATATTGGAAATAATATCTTTACTAGCATAAAAATAACAAATTTATGTGTGTTGTTATTCTTGCCTATTAGGTAGATGTAGGCTGAATAAATAAAATAAATAGAATAAATAAATATTTGTTAGATTTAAGAATGAGCATCAAAACATTCAGTTTTAGGCAGACGGTGGAGAAGTATTCGCAATATTGTCTTTGAGAAGGAGGAGGATAAGAGGCAGAAGCGGAAGTGGGAGTGGAATGCTCCAAGTGAAAATAGTCAACAATATCGTATTTGTTCAGCGGATAAATAGAACACTATGGGGATTATGCGTATGTATACAATTATGTCATATATGTATGTGTGTGTGAGTGTATTTACATGTATGCTGTAATCGGAATTCTACTTGATTTAAGTTGTTTTCGCTTGTAAATACTAATAAAATCTAAGGTGTATCAATAATAATCATTGAGAAGTAGTTAGTCTCCATTTCATCCAGTTAGAAAAACAAAATAACTCGTGTTCTCTCATTGTTTTTATTTACATAAATCAATCCTATAAAAGGTTTGATCACAAGGTGATATGAGTTGGAAAACCATTAGAAAACTTTCAGAGAGTACTGGACAACCCATTGGGGTTCGAACTCATGGCCTCCCGGTTTCAAGGAGAGCTCATTTACCATCCATCCAGCCACTGAGACCCAATCCAATGGCCCCATAAATTTCAACTTCTACCGATTCACGATATGCAGAGCAATCGTCAGTCAATATCATTGGCAAGTAACTGATTTTGGGTGAACCCCTCTGGTCTTGACTTCTCACTAGAACTCTAAGTAACTTCCTGAATATAGAAGTAGCTGCTAGTGAATCTTTGCAAACCAACACTTGGAAATTCGGCACCGGTAAAGGATAGATACCACAGCCAAATGACTCTGAACCAATCAATCATATTCTTCTGGGTAAAAATTGGCATTTATAATGCTCAGAAGGTTATTTACAGAAGTAACCAGGGTATACATCTGTAATATGCTGCAAAAACAAGTCTCAGTTTTCCATAGGAGTGGTTATAGACGTATAACCTATTAATCCTTTTTTTCAGGTATCCCCTAAAACCTTCGATAGAATTTGTATGAGTACCAGCTATAGGATTAACTTATTCGGATGAATGATTGAGTTAATGATGATAGTTACATCGCTCAGCATTTCAAACAGATGCTGTCCATTATCCTCGTGGCAAGTTTCACCCCTCACCTTAACCGTAACTCTAATCATACTCCTTGATTAACCTTACCCTTACACTCAATCTGAGTGAAACGTACAACGAAGATTATAAACAGCATCTATTTCTAATGTCCAGAGATCTGATTGGTTTGTTCAAGATTATTTGTCTGTAGTATATATTCTTCTGTCTTGTGGAAAATCCTGAAAGAATTGGGACTGTGAAGTGAATTTGAATCGAAAAGAGAAGAATGAAAATACCTTGCCAATACACCATCGTAGCAACGGCTAATACGTCATGAAAAGTTCAGGCTCAGCTTCTTATCGATTACCTGTTTTCCTTCATCCATCTATTCAAGGAGTTTTCACTTATTGATGGTGTTAATTTCTGTTTAGCTGCATATATGTCTGACTGTTGAATACGACAGTAGTAAATGTTCGAGTGTTGCTTTTTCAAGGATTTGATTATGAATTGATTCCAGTTAGAGAAGGCCATTGGAAATCAGCTAAGAGTACTGGACAGCTGTTTCTAGTAGGAAGTCATGGAAAGCTGTGTCTACCGATGACACTGTCTGGCGGGGGCTCTATATCCCCAAATGGCCATTGGATTCATTCCTAGTAGGTGATTGGTATATGAGTTCACCTCGTAACCTGAATGTCCTGGGTTCGATCCCTGTTGGGTGCATACTGCTGAGGAGTCGTAGACATCTAGGAGAATACAAAGAGGAAATGCATTTCCGCCACTTAGAACAATTTTGAGTCGTGTCTCTAGTTTTTATTTCTTCGCATTTCGAGGACCCTAACCAGATAGTCTACACCTATGCAGGTAGTTGGTGCAAACCAACTGTCAGTGACTTCATAGAATAATTCCAGGTTTGGTTTAACAACTTCTAAGTCTTATCCAACTTATTCTTATATCGGTTAACATTGTTTTTGCAAGGGATGCGGTGGCCTGAGTTCTAATCCTCTCAATCGACACAGCTTCCTAACCGCATGGATTGGTTGTTCAGCATACTATACCACGTAACACAGAAGATAGAACGCAGACATATCTGTTTAAAAGGCATCTAGCCTCTTCAAGTTTACATTTATTATTATACTTTCTCTATTGTTTGTCTTCTTTTTTTTGATTGATTTTTCTTCTTTATAGTATCGAAGTCTTGTTATCGTGAATAATACAAATGAATATCGTGTCGATGGGATAATCAGTATATCAGATGTACTACGTTTTACCGTATTACAACAATTACGTATGACATCGACACGTTTACAACCACCATCTGTTGCAGAAGTCGCTGATGAATACGATGAACTGAAACGTAATGGTGAAAGTAAGAAGAAGAAGAGAGGAGAAAAAGATAAATCGGGCGAAAATTTAAAGGCTACTACAAATACTACTACTACAAGTAATCCACCTGTCAGTAGTAGTGGTTGTTCATCTCAAACAAAAACTAAGAAGAGCAGTAATAAAAAGTCAGCGACAACGACAACGGCGACTACTAATGCGACGACACCGACGACGCTGGGGACAACCACAAGTCGTAATTCACCAATTACTACAACTATTACAACAGCGACAACAAAAACACCAATCACAATTACAACCGTTACTGGTGGTGTTACATCAAGTCCAGAACATGTTGTTGGCATGCATTCAAATGCATCATCGGCTATACATCATGAAAAGAAGAGACATAATGCAAAGGGGACAAAATTGGATAATTCTGTCAAACCACCATCTGATACTACTACTACTACTATTAATAACAGCAGTAGTATTGGTAATGACAGTCGAATAAACAAATCAACAAGACAAAAAGTTGATAATGAGAAGAAAATCACCCCACCATCAGTGAATATTATTTTAACAACAACAACAGCACCAACATCACCAACAACGCCAACGACGCATAGTAGCAGTACTAATTTATGCCCTAGTGAAAATATTATCTTACCAACAATTGTATCAGAAGAGATTATTTAATTTAATTCAATTATCTAATTGTCAATTAATTACTAAAAAAGGAAATATATATATAATGAGAGTGTAAGAAAAATGTACATTTTTTTCATTCAACAAATATTTTTGCTCACAATGTCGTTGATGATGATGATGATAATGATAATAATAACGCTGACAACTCTTCAGATTTATGAAGAAGAAAGATAATAATAATAATCAATATTTTGTAATTATGTAAATATAACAATCATTATTAATAATAATAACAAAAAAGAAAAAAATCAAAGTTACACTCTGAAAAATAACAAGAATAATTACCCTCTTTTATAACTTTATCAAGTTTCTTCGATTCTTCCAAGAGAGTTGATGATGAATCACCGGAATATTTCGCTTGATTGTTTGTGTATTATCAGTGACGAAAGGGGAGTACCAAGAGGCGGATTATGCACCTTCTTGCCTTTTGATGACGTATACATATATGCACGCTATGAATGTCTCTCCGCTGCCTTCCCCCTCCCACACTCGGCTCACTACCACCATCACCCATCATCCCTATGATCAATGTCGTCGACTTCTTCTACTCATATGTCTTTCACATAAATGATTGGTTGGCTTTATTCTTTGATCTCTCCCGCTTTCCCGCCCGGCCCCACTGCGGCACATCTTCGCTTTCTATGTGTTCTTATATATTGATTTTCAACTCAAAGCCAACATGAGTACATACATATGTATATCAACACACTTATTACATTATTAACAAGCCATTTGAAGAAGAAAAGGAAGAAGAGAACTCAAGTTATCATAAAAGTCGTTTTATGAGCTGTCCAATTTTGTGGTCTAACGGCTTGACAGCACACATTATTGCCTAACTTGTTTCTTCTGTGTTTCTGTTTGTGTATGTGCGTGTGTATGTATGTGTGAGATTGTTATTATTGTTGTTTTTGTTACTGCTGTTTACTTTATTGAGATATTTTTTAAAAACAAAAAACAAAACTAAAAAAGATTTGAGTAATATTATTACCTCTTTTTATCCCTTATTTTTGCATTATTGATTTTATCTACTCATTATTTCATTATTCATCATTGAACAGTTCTACACTACTTCCTTTGTGTGTTTGCGTATGTGTTTGTCCATGTTGTTTGTGGAATCTGGAAGTCCTGAATTTTTGCTAAGCAATTTTTATTGCCTAATAGCGGATAGATATTATAATAAATCCTTGAGTGTACATATAAGATGACGGACGCTATGGCTTTGTTGTATGCTTATACTGTGAATGTATGAATGTATATATAACGGGATATATATATATATATTTATCACAGCTATGTAACTGATAACTACATCAACAGACAAATATTTATACAGTTTATCCGTTTAGTTTTTGTTTTCTTATATATTTGATTAATTACTATCTCTATTTATTTATTTACTTATTTATTAACTATTCTATTTATTAAATAAATTACAAAAGAATGAACCCAATGATAAGGGTGTATTTTGAAGAAAATGCATCAATACTTTCGATGATGAATTGTTTGCCAGTCACACATATGCTCCGAGTTCGTGATTCCCTGGTCGCCGATGCTCGCTGATTGATTGACTGACTGACTGACTGACCGGTTTCAATGTAGAACTTTGCACAGAAGTGTAACAGTTCAAGTAATCACACTCTGTGTGGCATTTGAGAAAACGCTAATAAGCAAAAATGTTATGGAGTAAAAATAGTAACATTGGAAAGCATTAGGGGTTTAATGGATATGTGAGATCGAAACAAGTGATTAGATTTGCGCCAGTCATTGAGAATGATTTTGAGCCATATCACAAATCGTTTCCAGCCTTCATTGGTTCTTAGAATCCCTAGGACGCTAACTAGGAAGACAGTCTATACTTCCCTACGTTACTGGCTTGAACTAACTGGTAATGATTTTAGGGACTGATCAGAAGTTTTGGCTTGATCACCACTAGGTCTTTTTCAACATCATCCTATGTCAGCTAACATCACCTATCGAGTAAAGTGATTGCTAGACATGCGTAACACATATCCTAACTATTTCAACCGATGTAGTTTCACAACCCTATCAATTAAATTTCCCTGTTTATTTAATACTTGACGCCTAACCTGAGTTGTACTCATCCTATTATGCCACCTAACACAGAAGATAGAAGGTAGATGTATGTGATCAAAGACAGCTAGGCTTTCTATATCTTCCACTTTGAATAATCTTGTCTCACAAACATATAAGTGAATGAAGAGAACTGCTGAAAAGTACACACACCCTTTGGTCGATAATTGGATGTTGCGTCTATGCTAGAGATGACATAAGCTGTCAAATACTACACAAACCTTTTGTATCCGCTCTGAGATTTTGTCAACAATCATCCTGTCGGGGCTGATGCTGGTCAATAAGGTTTGCTGCTTCACTCCCTAGAGGTCAATGTATTCCAGTCCTTACATTTGACAGACAAAAATCGTATATCAAACATTCAAAGATTTCTGCTCAGTGTGTTTAGAAGACTCTGCATTTTATCAGCACCTTCATCTAGGAGGACTATATCATCCGCATATTCTAAGTGAATGAGATTATTCCCTGGTAACAAGACAATCTCAAAGTCTCTGAATTAGGTTAGGGCGACGCTGATGCACTTCTAAAACTTGAGTTGCTGGTAGCAAACATGTTTGAGAAGGAAGGTTGACTGTGTGTGTAGCAACCCCACTCCACAGCATAAAAAACGGTATCATCGCTACTGGAATGTCGAATCTCAAGCTTAAAGCCCTCAGTCACTGGGAGTGATAACGATTCTAGGTTGGGGTTAAAGGCCATTGGAGGGATAGAGAGATTGAACCAATTCTTTCTGCGCACAGAGATTGGCTTGGAGTATTTTTTACGGGAACTATCTCAGCCATTTGAATAGAGCAAGAACAACAGTTCTTGCAGAATAATATGGCACCATCATTGCCTATTTCGTTGGCTTCTCATCAGCGGCTGCTCACAGCCTAATTACATTATTATCAAGGTCATGTACAGAAAAGTTTTAACATACTTGCAAATTTTAAATGATGTCAGTTGACAGGAGATTGTGAACTTGGTGAAAAGTGCTCAGAAAACTGCGCCTACATAGCTTTTATACATAGAGTTCAAGTTTAAACAAAATGAATGTATGCATACAATGGTAGAGGAGTTACATAATAAAAACGACAGATGCGTAAGATGATGAGTGACTGATAAATTAAGTAAAAATATATTGAGTTCAACTCAAATCATAGAAGCAAGAGACAAGCAAAATTACACTATATCAAGGGTAGCGAGGTTAAAGCTAAGGAATACGTTGTAACAACAGAAGACAAGGGCCAGGGAACAGATCGTTTATTTAGGAAATCAATAGATACTTATATATTTTCTTGTACATTATTATAGATTATTGTAAGCAAACAAGCACAGTCTTCTAATTCGTGGTTTCTCCTTGAACTTTAATCTTTCATCTCTTTGTGGCCGTTTATTGAAGTTCAGATCATCTATCCGCAAATTGTATCCGCCTACATAAAGTCTGCTGTGATTGGTTGTTGAGTCAGTCTTTGTTCTTATTTTTCTCACGACCAATATTGGGAACGTACACATTGACGTAAATTACTATCTACAAATTTTGGCTAGCAGCCAGCTCTCACCACAACGTAATCAAATGATAGGGAGAGTAAAGACTTCCAGCTACCATGGTGAGCCAAGGAATGACTGATCACTGCTTCTTTCTGAACACATAACTCGGGTTTCAGGCGTCTGATAGAGACTGCTTCAGCAAACTCTAGGAGAATTGAGCTTTTTTGTCTATTGATAATTTTAAAGGATTTCGCGATTTCCACCTCGTGACCCGTATCAAAGAGATGTCTGGTAATGGCACTACTGTAAGCATTTGTTTCCTTGAGACGTAGGCTTTTCGGTGCATGTTCAAAAAATCGCAAGTGTGACCTTCTTTCTGTTTTCCCAATGTAACTGCTCCCGCAGATACACGTAAACTGGTATACACAGTTGGAATTAACATGAGAAGGGTATGTGTCGAATTTGGACTGCACCAAAGAGCATCTTTGCTGACTGACAGGAGCCAACTTAACTGCAGGATACGCTCTGCCAAGTGGCGTACTGAATCTTTTGTCGAATATTGCTGCAATATTTTCACTTTTAAAATCGAATTGAATGAAGACAGGCTTTTTTCGACTGTGATTTGTTTGATGTTTGAGCTTTCACGTCTTCCATATTTTTGTTAATGAATCTCTGAAGGTAACGGCTGTTTTTCAACATCTTTTAGAGAATCACAAGTCCTCGCTCTAGCTGTACTCTGCAGAGCACACTCTCCTCGCTCTATAGTACAGAGTCTTGACTAATGCTCGTTTAAAGCTATTTGAACAAAAACTACTAAACTGTGGGTATTGTCCATTCCTCGTAGGCTTCTAATAAATTGACCTCTGAAGACTACCATCTTTCAGGTGTTGCATGACAATCAAGGAGGAAATGGAACTTCCCATCATCTCCAGGTTCCATAGTAAAATCAATATTTGTGTGTGCATTGTTGAATAATCTGAGTAGGTAGGAAACGTGACTTTTATTGTTGCCCACTACAAACGTGTCATTGACATATCGACAATAGGAAGTTGTTTAGTCGATTACCTGCTTCAACTTTGTTTTCTCAATGATGGACATGAAGACATATGCTATCTCAGCTATGTTTAACAACTGAAGACGTGGAAACTTAGGGAATTGAAGTGGCATCTTGAATAGAATTGTAAAGGCTGAATTTTTATCAGTCTTGCGCTCTGTATCCTCAAGGTGTGCCAATATGAAGATGGCGATAGTGTGCTTGACGAGTCGTTCTATGTATGTAACTGTCTTCACAAGAACAATTAAATTTATAAGTCAACATTGTAGTGGCCAGACTCTTTATCTTATCCTTCACATGCGTTGGAATTATGCAAAGAAGTGGTGAATTTTAAACATAATGTTATGGCCATAAATGCTTTACAGGATTCATCACGAGCCGCTATCAGTTAGAAAACCATGGAATACTCTATACAGCTTTCTCTTCA